CCCGCAGCTGGAGCAGGTAGCGGGGCCCTGGGGGCATGCAGGAGGCAGGGGGGCGTCCTCGACCCCACGGCGGTCCACAGGGCAGACCCAGTGCTGGGGCCTGAGGGGCAGAGCTTCCGGGCAAAGGTTTGCCCGAGTGCCGTGCTGTGGAAGTTTCTTCCGAGAGGGACAGGGCCCCAAGCAGGGGCCCGGCGGGGACAAGGAAGCCGGGTTGGGCGCTGTCGCGGCCCCGCCGGGCGCCTCCCTGGCGGGCCAGGGCCCAGCCCTCCGTCTCCCCGCTCGTCCCGTCCCCGCGGGCCTCTGAGGTCAGGTGGAGACAGGGCAGGTGCGGGCACGGAGTCCGGGCCCGAGCGGCCGGTGAGCCCGCTCCCGGGGAGGGGGAGAGCGTGGCCGAGCGTGCGCCCACATGTGTGTGCTCAGGCCTCCCCCGGGCGTCCAGCCACGAAGGCCACGTCTGCAGGACACCCCCACCCCAGGAGCTGGCCGCGCCCAGGCCGGTCACAGGCAGCCTCCGCCCCTGCTGACCCCACACCTCGCTGCCCTCTGGCCCTGAGCTCGGCCAGGTCGGGAAGCCCGGGCCCGCCCTCCGGCCTCGGGGGCTCAGCCCAGGTGCAGCCAGCCCTCCTCCCGGCCTCCCTCCGCAGCGGTGGCTCCGCCCCGTGGGGGATGGGGGTGCTGGGAGGGAGCCGGGCCTCCAGTTTCTGCCTGGGCCCCAGGAGGGGCGAGTGGCAGGGCAAGGCTGGCGGGGGGATGGGGCTGCAGGTCGGTGCCCAGGCCGGGCTCGGCCTCGGCCGTGGGCAGCAGTGGGCCCATGGGCCTGGCAGGAGGCGGCCTGGCCCTGCCCGCTTGGAGCAGGCCCCAGGGGCCTCAGGACGACCGTTCATCCAGGCCGCTCCTCCCGGGACCAGAAACCACCTCTCAGGGACGCCTGCCTCCTGCCCAAAAGATTTCAGGCCGCTTCCCGGCCGGAAGCCAGCTGACGCCTGTCATGTGCTGGGAACTGCTTAACGCAGGCCGTTGGGGAAAGAGAGACAGAGAGACAGACAGAGGGAGGGGACGGGGCTCCGGGCGTGTGGCTCTGGGCGCTCCTGAGCTGGGACTCCACGCCGCGGGCCGTCTCCAGCCTCCAGCGTGAGACCGCGGGACACGGCCTTGGGGACGGCGACCCGCCCCAGACGGGCGAGAGCACCAGGGAGAGCCAACAGAAGCCGAGACGCACACGTCTGGCCCGGGCTGGGTTCCAGGACGTCTGAATGACACCCACACACCGAGGAGGGAAGGCGGGGGCTCCGGCAGCCAGGAAGGCCAGAAAGACAAGGACGCCGAGAGGCTCCAACGGGAAGGCGCACCGGCCGCGCGCTCGGGTGGGGCTGCCTGTGCATGCACAGCCCACAGCGTCCACGAACGCCGGGCCCCACGGCGCCCTGCGAGCCAGGCCTCTCAACCACACACGGCAGAGCGCGTCGTGGGGAGAGAGACACAAAGACCCGGGCAGCGCAATTCACGCGGTGCAATGGCCGGCCGAGGTGACCACAGGCGGGGCACAGCCGGCGTGGGCAGTGACCCCGGGGGCGCCGGGTGTTTAACGGGGACGTGTACGTCCTAAATTCACCATGGAGGGGGCTGCACAGCTCTGTGAATCTAGTCAAAACCCTTCCCTGGCTGGTGTGGCTCAGGGGACTGAGCGCCGGCCTGCGAAATGTCACAGGTTCGATTCCCAGTCAGGGCACAGGCCGAGGTTGCGGGCCAGGTCCCCAGTGCGGGGTGCACGAGAGGCAACCGATCGTGTATCTCTCCCACAGCGATGTTTCTCTCCTCTTTTTCCCTCCCTTCCCGTCTCTCCCAAAAGTAAATAAATAAACTCTTTAAAAAATAAATAAAAAGGGACCCTCGGGAATGTGTGTTAAATGGGTGGACAGCACAGGGCGCGCAGCGCGGTGTGATAAGCTGCCGCGGGGAGGCCACGGAGCGTTTGCAGCGTCGCCCAGAGCCGGGCAGCGGGCAGCCTCCGTCCACAGCGGAGCTGAGCGCCCGCCACGCTGCGCCCACGCGGAACGTTGTCAGGGCCGTGAGCAGAGCACCTGGCGCGCAGGAGCGACCTCAGGCCTGGCCCCACACGCGTGCTTCTGTGTGTGCGCTGCCTCCTGCAGACGTCGCCCCCTTCTCTCCTCAGGGGCTGGGAAACCCCAGGGGCCTCGCAGCCAGGGAGCCCGGTCCCTGCCGGCGGCTCCGCATCCCTGTGCCCGGTGCCCTCCGACTGGGCCCTGAGGCTGGACGGTGGCCCCCAGCAGGACCGGCTGCAGAATCTGTAAGGCCCCTTGTTCAAAATCTTTATGCATTTCGAGTCTGCGGGAGCCAAGTGTGAGCCCTGCAGGGCCCTCCCAGGGGATTGCCCGCCCCTACGGGGACTCCCCCGGGGGCAGGCGGGGACCTCAGCGGAGCCCAGGTCTGGGCCCCCGGTCGCCCTGTCCCTGGCGGGGCTCACGCGGCCGGCAGGTCATCCCCCAAGCCAGCCCGAGGCCCGCTGGTCGGGGCCGCCTGCTGCCCGGCGCCCGGGCAGGTGGGCGGTGGAGCCTCCCTGTTCCCCTTTGGGAGGAGGAGGGGGCACGACCGCTCCCCTGGGACCAGCCAGGCCAGGCTGGCCACGCCTCACTGTGAGAGGCCACCGTGGGCCCGCAGGGCCATCCTGCCGCCTCACCTCGCACACACCGTGACAGGTGACCCCAGGCCACCCGGAGCAGCCCTGCCGCGAGCGCTGAGGTCACAGAGCCGTGACCGACGGCAGGTCCCGGGGTCCCCGACGCCCAGGGAGAGGGCTGGGCCCTGGAAGGCAGCCCTCTGGGTGCTCCGTGCCGCGCTGCCCACGGGCCCCCCGCCAGAGCCTCACTCCCTGCCCCCTGCGCTCTTGGCGCCACCGACCCCATCCCGCCTCCTGTCGGGGAGCAGCCCCGGGCGGCTGGGTGGAGGGCGCCCGGCGGCAGGCCTGGCCCGGCGACGTCGTGAGGACAGCCTGCCCAGGCCCCCCGGCTGCCGAGCGGCCCCAGGAACACACCCAGATGCCACCGGCACGATCAGCCTTGCCCGGAGTCTGGTGCACCCCCAGCATGGAGCCCCCCCCTCCAGACACAAGCAGCCCGCCTGGGAGCCATTGCGCTCGGCTTCGGGGATGGAAAAGCCACAAAGCCTCTGCGGCCTGGTCTCCATGTACCGCCCTGGCCGCTCCCGCCTCCAAAATAGCAGTCCTTTCCCTGAGGGCTGAGTTTTCATGGGGCACCTGACCCCCCAGGTGGGCGGGGGGCGCGTCGCTATCCCATTTTAGAGATGAGAGAGCCGAGACTCAGGGAGGTAAGGCTGGGCTGGAGGACGCCAGGGGGCAGAGGACGGGCCCCCTCCCCAGGGCCCAGGGGGGCCCAGCAATCCCCTCCGCTGCCCCGCAAAGAGGAGAGAGCCCCCGGCTTGCGACGACACGTCCCCGCAAACCCCTAACCTGACACATCGCGGTCGCCCTGGCCACGGCTGTCCACCCAGACGCCTGCGGGGGCCGAGCCCTCGTGGCTCTGAGGTGGGGGAAGGAAGGGGCTCGTGCCGGACGCCCCCGGCACAGGCTGCGGGTGACAACCCCACACAGGGCACGTGAGGCCCCCCGAGAGCATGAGAGGCGGGCCTCCCCCACCCTCCCGGGGTCAGCACCGGCCCCCGCCCCCCAGCAGTTCCAACGCGGGCGGCCCTGAGGCTGGATCCCCGCCACCCCCCCTCGCCCGCAGGGCACCGGCCGGGACGCCCATGCCTGTCCCTACAGGGGTCTGGGCCTGGCTCCTCGGCAGGGCCACCTCCCGCTCTGCTCTCAGGGTCCAGGAGGGCTTCCCCCTGGGCCACTGGCTGGTGACACTATGTTCTCTAAGCCCCTGGACGAGAGCTGCCTGGGAGGCCAGTTCCGAGCAAGTGGCACCCACACGCCAAGCCCAGCAGACAGCCCGACCGCCAGCTCCCGTCCCACGGGAACAATACCCTCGGATGGGGCCGCGCCCAAGGGACCGCGCGTCACCGCACGCACTGGGCCCCGCTCCAGGGAGGGGGCCTGGGAGAGCCGGCTGCGCTTGCCCGGCACTGTTTTGGCTGGATTCGCCTGTGCCAGAGCCCCGGGGACATGCGAGTGGGCCGTGGGCCCCTGGGCCAGGGCTTCAGGGCAGGGCTCTCTCCCCCACTTGGGAAGGGGCTGGAGCTGGCTGGCGGCTGCGGCGGGCCGTCAGCTCTGCCCAGCCCCTCTGCCCACCGCAGCGGCCCCTGCCTGCCGCCAGGAGGCCAGGCGTCCACGGCAAACAGCCTGCCAGGGCCACCGGCCTGGCAGGGAGTGAGGCCTGGCCCCAGGCTCCTGCAGCCAGCTTGACAGCAGCACCCCAGCCTCCCCCGCTCTCGGGGGGGCCGGGGCAGTGGGCGCCCACAAAGGCCCATCTCTTTTGAGCCTCTGCCCAGAGGGCTCTGTCCTGTGAGCTGCCCACGGCTCCCACTGCCACACACCCGCTGCCAGGTGGCGGGCGAGCTCCCGGGCCCGGCTCCCAACCAGGGAAGGGTCTCCCACGCTCAGACCTGGGACCAGTAAGGGCCAGGGGCACCCTCCCATCCCTCCCCCAGGGCCCCAGTGCTGACATCCTCTCCTCCAAACCCCGGGGCAAACGCAGGCCTCCTGCCCCAGTTACCTGGGCCAGAGACGTCCGCAGAGACACAGGGTTGGGGGTCGAGCCTCTGCCGCCCGCCCGCTGCCGGAGGCCTCAGCCGGGCCGGGTGCCAGCCCGAGGCCTGCCAACCGGCCAGATCCCAGGCCTCCGGGGGTCCTGCCCGAGAGCCCGTCCTTCTGCGGCTCCGCTCAGGGTGGGGAAAGGGTTAATTTCCATGCAAAATAGGAACCGGCGGCTCAGGAAGCATCATGTCCGCAGTGGGGGACTGGGGGCAGGACCGGCAGACGGGCGGAAGGCGGGCGTGGGTGCTGCCGGTGGACTCACCGGGGTCCGAGTGCGAGCTGAAGGCGAAGCTGGGGTTGAAGAAGGAGGACGACATGGCCAGGGCTGGCGGCGCAGACGCCGGCGGCGCTGCGCTCAGGTGGCCCGCGGCCCCGACCCGCGCCGCGCCATCGCTGCCCCACAGGTGCGAGCGCCCTGTCGCCGGGCTGCCGAGCGTCGCGGCCGCGGGGCGACGGGCTGGGGGCGGGCGGGGTGCGGGCCGGGCGCCGTGCCGGCAGCGGCCACAGACCAGGCGCCTCCGCCCGCCCGGCCGCGGCGCCGCGGGGCTCCGGGGCTGGTGCAGTCCGAAAACACTGGCGGGAGCGCGCGCGGCGGTGGGGGGGCCCCTCTCCGGCTGTGGGGGGCACTGAGATGCGTGGGAGGGGAAACCCGCAGGCGGGGGGGGGCACGAGACGCGTGGAGCGGGGACCGGAGGCCGAGGGACAGGGAGCTGCGGGGGGGGGGGCGCAGCAGCGCGGGGGAGGGGTGTCAGGGAGATGTGCGGAGGGGGACCCGCAGGCTGGGGGACCCTGAGGCGTTGGGAGGGACACAGAAACGCAGGATGGGGGACCCGGAGATGGAGGCGTGGGTTGGGGGGGCACGAAGTCCGGGGAGGGGTCACGGGGGCAGCGCGGGGGTCACGGAGATGTAGGAGGGGACTTGGAGAGGCGGTGGGGGCACCGAGACCAGGGGAGGGCCACGGGGACACGGCCCACGCGCGGCGGTGGGCGCCATGGCACCCAGGAATGCGAAACAGTGCGCGGCGTGGCCTGGGACGCGCCGGGGCCCCCCCCACAGGGTCAGGCCTGCACGGGGCCTGAACACGCAGGTCTGGAGGCGCTGGAGTCTGGCCCCTTTGGGTGGCGCCGGCACTGGTGGGCGTGGGGCCGCTCACACACCGGCCCTGCCCCAGCCACGCTGAGACCACCCTGGAGAAGGAGCCGCAGCCCCCGTCCCCACCCGCTGTGTGACAGCGCCGGCCCGAGGCAGGGTCCCCTGCTCCGCGGAGCGCCCTGCTGCACCGTTGCCCCAGTGGCGGCTGCGAGCACAGCAGGACCCGCGGCTTGGGGACCAAGGCCCCTCCCCCCAGGGGAGCGGGGTCGCAGTGCAGCGAGCTCGCCCGCTCGGCCATCCATTCATTTCTGGCCAGAGGAGCGAAGCTGCTCGGCAGGGCCTGGAGGTGGGGGGGCAGGGGGAGGGGGCGCCTGTCCCTAACTGGGCCACCAGTCTTGGGGAGAGAGCAAGAGCCAGTGTGACCCACAGAGCAGGGGACAGGGACCCAGAGGGACGGTGAGGCCGGTCAGTCCTTGGGAGAGGGCGTCCTGCTCATCCTGAGGTGGCCCTGCTTTTCCTTCAGACGTTGGGGGCCCTGCTGCGGTGCCCCCTCCGCCCGTGGAGGAGGGCCTGGGAGCTTTGTGGCCCGTCCTGACTGTGCCTGAGGCCACGCTGACGAGGAAGGAGGGGTCCTCGGACACCTGGCCCCGGTGCCGCCAGGGACCTGAGCTGCCTCCGTCCAGAGCCTCGGAGCCCCCCTGGCCTCGGTGCACCAGGGGCTCTCACGAACACAGGCACATGCACACGCACACGCGTGCATACGCCGGCATGCAGAAGCGCCGGGCCTCTGGCCTTCAGGGGCCCAGATCCTCCTGCGGAGGGTCCAGGCCGGGAGGGGCAGACCCCCAGGGCCCGGGGCCTGCACTCCCACCTCGCCTGACTGGGGGGCGCCCCTTCTCCCGTGCACTGGGCCTCGGGGATCTCACGGCGGCAGCAGCCCTGCCACCCCCGGGCAGGTGACGCTGTCCTGGAGGGGCTCCCCGTGTCCCCACCACGACCCCAGCCCTTTGACCAGCGCTGCCCGCGTTGGCCAGGACCCTGCGCCGCTGCTCCCGGGGCAGGGCGGGAAGGCTGGCTGGTGCCAGGATTCAGGGGAGGGTCCACCGGTGCGCCCCCTGCAGCCGGGGGCTGGAACTGCTAGGCCTCCAGGTCAGCCAACAGCAAGGCGGCCCGGGCAGGACAGAGCCGTGCGGCCCTGGGCGGGGGGAGCCTGGGACCCTCCACGGGGCCCTCTCCGTGGCCCCGGGGCCTGAGGGCCAGCCCCCGCCAAGGAAGAGCGGAGGTCCTGAGCCGCAGGACCACACGCTGGGTGCCCGGTGGCCTGGCCTCACTCGTCCGGTGTTGGGATGGCGCAGGGAGAGCGACGGGCCCCTGGGAACGAGGGCTGCAGGGGTGTGGGCGGGCAGGGGGGGCCTGCCTGTGCGCGGGGCCCGGTGGCCAGCCCACCTCAGGGAGCCCCCTGCACGGGCGTCCACCGATCCCAGGATGGCAAGAGGCCTCTGGCGATGTGCCCTGCCCCCCACCCTGGGGCAGGCAGGATGCCCCAGAGCCCCCCATCAGCCCAGCAGGTGGTGGGGTTTCAGCGTGCTACGTCCGGGAGTGGCCGCTGCCCTGGGGTCCCGGCCGGTCATAACGCACTTCCATCCACAAAGGCCAGGCTGGCGGGGACGCCGCTTCCTGGCTGCGCTGCCGCAGAACAGGAGGGCGCAGCCCCCGACCCACGTCCCTGGCGCCGCTGTGGGTGGCCCAGGGCCAGGCCCACACCCCGCACACCCCAGGGCGGCACAGCCCTTCCCTGCTGCCCTCGGGGATGTAGCCCCGGCTTGGGAGTGCGGGGGTGGGGCCGGGGCCCCTTGCGATCACACCGCCCTGCTGCGTGGGGGGGCGGTGCTGTTGGTAAAGGGAACTCGCCTGAGATAGCGCCCAACCCGGGGGAGGCCCCGCAAGCCCACCCCGACAGCTGCACTCTGCAGGGCGGGGGCGGGGGCCTTCCCCGCATTTACCAAAGAGACCCCAGGCGGCAAGGCACAGCCTCCCCCCAAAAGGGGAGATGTCCGGAGTTCCACGCTGGCCTGGCGGGGCCACCCCGGCCCCCACTCCCGGGGGACACGCCGTGACCTGGGAGGAGCTGCGGCTTGAAGGAGCTTCGGCCTTAAGTGCAAACAGTCCCTGGAAGAGAAGGGCAGCGCCGGGCGTTTCTGGTGCTCACGGCCCAGGGCTGGCCAGGCTGCAGGCTCCGCCGTGGGGGGCAGTGCCTGCGCCACCCGGGCACAGGGGACAGCAGCGCCCCAGTGCTCAGAGGTGGCCCCCGGGGCCCCGCCTGGCCAGCTCAGCCTGGGTGGGGGGTCAGTGAGCAGGGGCCAGGACACAGGCGGGGAGGGCTGCCTGGCTGTGGACAGAAATGAAACCCGAAAGGCCACCCCAGGGACAGGCCATCTGTCAGCTTGGGGACAGGTGTGGGTTCCAGGCGCCGGCCTGCACTCTCCCCACCCTGAGGCTGGGGGCTGGGGAGGGTGGGCGCAGGCGGGGCCTCCCTTCCTCGCAGGGCCAGGCGGAGGGGGCGCTGCGGGGCCCTCAGCAGGCCTTTGGGTGCCACCTGTTTCTTTGCGACTTTTGTTTAATGTCGTTTAATGTGGTTTATTAAAAGCACCGTTGCTCACTCTGCAGGTTTCTGTTTTAATTGGGGCGAAATGCACACGACAGAACAAACCGCCGCAACGCGAAGAGCCCGGGCGCCTTCCGTGCACCCAGCGCTGCGCGGCCGCTGCCCCGCCCCCCCCCCCCCCGCCCCCGGGCCCAGCACCGGGCCACCGCCCCCGCCCCGCATCGGCCGGGCCGCAAGCCCACTCCCCGGCCGCCCGTCTCCAGCCCCCGACAGGCGCCCGTCCGCACCCTGCCTCCGGACCTGCCTCCCGGGCCACTCACATGGAGGGACGGGGCCTGCGAGGGGTGGCCTTTGCAGCTGGCTCCCCCCACTGCGGGCGGTCACGCGTCACACCGCGAACGTGGGGCACCCATGGGTGGGCGTCCGCACTGCGGGGCAAGGCGATGGTGCAAGGCCAGCAGGCAGGCGGCCCCTCCGGTGACGGAGGAACCACGTCTGCTGTCCCCACCCCCACCCCAGGCTCGGGGAGGCCAGGCGCTGCAATGGTCAGTCGGCCCGGCCCGGTGGGGATGTGCCAAGTGCCAGTGCGCCCCCGGGAGCGGCCAGCACCAGGCTGCTGTGCCTGGAGGGGAGGACACTGCGCCCCCAAGCTGGGCACGGCCAGGCGGCAGCAGGTACAAAGGCCAGAGCCCGCGCGGCCTCCACGCACCCAGACTGACCACCTCCCAGAGCCCTCGAGGGAAGCCGGGCACAGGTGAGCCCTGCCCGGCAGGGCGGCGCGGCGCCCAGCGGCTCAGCGGCACCCTGGGGCCCTGTCTTCACCCTCAGGACCAGGAAGGTCCAGGGAGGCAGGGAAAGGAGAGGGGGCAGGGGCAGGGCAGCCCTAAGGGACACCCCGGGCCTGCGCCAGGGGAAGGGGATAAAGGCAGCGTTGAACGAATGACTCGGCCCGTGGCGGGGGGCAGCGGGGGCAGGGCAGGGGTGTGGGGGGCAGAAGGGGAAACAGGAGGTGGGGGGTGAGCGTGTGCGGCTGCTGCCCCTCGCCCTCCCCTTGCCGGCCTCCCCGCAGGCTCCTGCAGCTCCGGTCTCGCCACCAGCGCCCGCCCCTCCCAGCACGGTGCCCTCTGGGCCCAGACCCTGCAGGACCCCCAGCTGCAGCCTCAGCTGGGCTCTGCACAGCACTCAGGCCGGGCCGGTGTCTCGGGCAGCCGGGGCCCACGCAGCCGCCGTGAGCACGGCGCAGGGACACCCGCCGCCCCAGGGTGCAGCCGAGGGGGTCCCGTCCCGTTCCTGGGGCCCGGCACCCTGAGCTGGACCCGCCCAGGACCGGGTCCTGCGCCCGGGTCTCCTCCTGCCTCCCCGCCCCCGCCCCAAGGCTCTGCTAACGGAGACGCCCCTCGGGACTGGCCCACCCGGGCCTCTGCCCCACCCACACGGCCCCTCCCCCGTGAGCCCCGCTCGTGGTCCTCCTGTCCCTGGGCACCCGCAGCGCCCACCCGGGCCTCCCTCTTGTGCCCCGGGCTCCCGCGCCCATCCCGGCTCCCCGATGCCCACTCCGTTCTGTGTCAACAGCGCTCTGGGACTGAACACACCCCAGGCTGAGCCCCACCCTGCCCAGAGCCCCGAAAGGCCCAGACACACGGGGGCGGGTGGGGGTTGGCCCATGGGGAGTCCACCTCTGCGCCCAGCGTTCCGGTGGCCGCAGGGAGAGACCAACCGCTGCTGGGGCTCATGCCGGCAGAACCCCAACCTCCCCAGGCCCTCAGGGGGTGAGTGGCAGCCCTGGGCCCCCCCACACGCAGAGGCTGCCCCAGTGTGCGCGCAGGAGAGGCTTCCCGGCCAGCTCGCATCTGCCAGGGGCCTGGCCCCAGACCCTTGCCTGGAAGGCGGCATCCAGACAGCCTGGGGGGCAGCGAGGGCCCCAGGAGCGTGCTTCACCGCTGTCCCCGGCCGCCTGCCCGCGGGCACGGCCTGTCCGGTGCCCACTCCTGCAGGCTCCCCACCGCCACGGTCTCTGAGGTGTTGGGGGGGCACCGGGCAGGGGTGGGAGGTGGCTTGGGACCCCTCCCAGGGGTGGGGGGCAGGTGCAGGGCCGTGGGTGCGGGGGGCTTGGCCAGAGGCAGGATGGCACAGAGGACTCGGGGGGGGGGGCATGGCGGGAGGGGCAGGTTGAGAGCAGAGCTGAACCACGGACGCCCCCGCCCGGCCGCTCTGCAGAGGGGCCCTAGGGTGGCGCCCAGCCCCTCCCGGACCCCAGAACAGAGTCAGACAGGGAACACAAAGTATTAAGAAACAGCTCTTTACTTCTAAAACGCGGCCACAGTGCCCTCCCCACAGGGCGGGGCCGGGGGGGCGGGAGGGGCTGGGAGGAGTCCACCTCCAGCCAGGGCCGCCACCTGGCGCCTCGGGTGCTGGGGTCGCTGGGCGGCGGGGTCACTTGGCGCTCCGCAGCGGCCGCCTGCGCTGCTCCAGGAGCTCCTCCAGGTGGTCAGCCCGCTTCACCGCGGCCTGCAACACGCACCCGCCGCGGTCAGGCCGGGCTGCGCCCCTGCCCCCTCCGGGCCGCCGGCCGCCGCGGGCCCACCTCGTGCTGCTTCCGCAGGCTGCTCACGGCCTCCTCCTTCTTCGCCAGGGCCGCCTTCACCCTGCGGGGCGCGGTGGGGCACCGAGGGCAGTGGGGCGGCTGGTGCCGCCCCTGCTGACGACCACGGCGCAGGGCTTTCCGTAGGGGTTGGAGCCACAACACCCACGGAACCAGCCTCCACGCAAGTCAGATCCAAAACCGGGGACCCCAACAGGCGCCTCAGGAAAGGCGAGAAGCCTCGAGCCCACGTCGCTTCTCCAAGCGGCCGTGGGGAGCAGACAGACGGTCCGGGGAGGACCGCGGGGCCCCGTGGGCGTGGAGAGCCCCCGCTGCCAACCTCTCAGGGCCTCCGCCCTGCCCGCACAGCGCCCCTTCCCCCAGGCTGGGGGCCGCCCCCCGAGACCCGCCCCAGCACCCACCTCCCGTGCACGTCCTCCAGCTCCGCCTGCTTCTCCCGCCTCAGCTGTTCCAGCTCAGCCCGGACCCGCCGGTTCTCTTCCTCCGCGGCCGCCAGCCGGTCTGCAAGCTCCTGGCGGAGGCCCTGGGCCAGGCCGCTCCCCGCACTGGCCAGCTGCTCGCTCTCCTGGGCGCACAGAGGGCGCGCAGGATGAGTCCGGACGGGAGGAGCGCAGGGCCCGGCCGCCGCCCCGTCCCCCGCCCGCTGGCCGGCTCACCGCCTTCGCCGCGGCCAGGGCCCTGTCCTTCTGCCGCACCAGGCCCTGCAGGTGCGCGGCCTCGCCCTCGGCCTCCGCCAGCCGCCCCCTCAGCTCCGCGCACTGGACCTGCAGCTTGCGCTCCGACTGCCCCAGCGCTGAGAGCTCGGCCTCGTACGTGTCGCGGACGCGCTGGACGCTGGCGGGGGAGGTGCAAGGTCAGGGGCGACCGTGCGGGGACGGGCGAGGCGCCCGCGGGGGAGGCCTCACCGGCTCTCGGCGGCCCTCTCGCTCTCCTCCCTGGCCAGCGTCGTGTCTGCCTCCAGCTGGCGGATGACCCGCTCGATGTCCTTGTCCCGGTCCCTCCGGATCTCCTCCTTCAGCTCCCGTTCCCGGTTCAGCAGCCACGCCTCCTGGAGCGGGGCGCGGGGGCACGGGGGGCGGCTCAGGTGCTGGGAGGGACCTCAGCCTGCCGCAGGCCCCACCAGCGCTCAGGGAGGGGACCACGCCCCTCCCGGCCGGTGTGGGGCAGCAGAGGCATGGCTGGCAGCTGCTGTCACAGGGCCTGGGTCTGCGAAAGGGCCCTGACCCGGGGCTGCTGCGGCCAGCCCCCCCCACCCCCACCCCTGTGGGAGCCTCGGGGCCCTGCTAACTCCCACCAGTTCGGACGCGCCCTTTGGCCCGGGCAGCCCAGGCTCAGGGACTCCTGTGCCCGGCGGTGGGCGCAGAACTGGGCGCCACTCGGCCACCACCAAGCGGGGGCGGGGAGGGGGGCAGCGGGAGCCGGCTGAGCGTGGCGCCTCAGGGGCAGATCTCCGGGCGGAGGGAGCGTGGGGGCTGCTCTCCTCCTGGGCACCTGGGACCTTCCGCAGCCCCCCCACCCCACGCATCCCCCGGAGCCCCAAGGGGAAGGACTGAGACAGCACTTGGGACAGCTCAGAACGAAGCACTAGCCCGGACAGCCAGACCGAGGGCCCAGGGCCAGCCCAGCAGCAGAGCCCGCGCTGACGCCAGTGGGGGTGGGGGTGGGGTGGGGCACCCACCTCCTTCTTGGCGCAGTCGGCCTCCCACGCCCGCCTCTCCGCCTCCAGCTGGTCCCTCAGGGCCTGCAGCTCCACCTGGGGGCAGCAACCAGTGAGCGGCCTCCCTGGGGCCCCACACCCTGAGGCTGAGCCAAGCGAGGGTCTCGGGGAGGGATGGGCGCTGGTCCTGTGATCCAGCCAGCTGCCCCCACCCCCCCCACAGGCCCTCAGTGGGGCCGCAGGGACGGCCAGGGATGGGCCAGAGACGCACACCTGGTGCCTGCGCTCCAGCGCCTCCCGGCCCTTCTCGCACTCGGCTCTCAGGGCGCGGCCCTGGGCCGCGCTGTCCTCTTCCAGCTGCCTCCGCAGCTCCTCCAGCTCTGCTCGCTGCCTGTGGGCACCCCAGCGTCAGTGCGGGGCGGGGGGGGGGGGCGGGGGCTGCAGGCGGCGGCGCCAGGGGCCCCTCCTCCGCACCTGGCGGCCTGCTGGCCCAGCCGCTCTTTCTCCTCCGCCACCTCGCTATAGAGCCGCCGGCGCAGCTGCTGCAGGTCCCGCTGCTCCTGCTCCAGCTGCTGCTCAAAGCTGCGGACAACAGGCCTGCTGGCAGCGCGGAGAGAGGCTGCCCTGCTCGCGGCCACCCGCCCTGCCCGGACCCCGGCGCCCCGCTCTGCCGAGCCCCGTGCAACCGCCGCGCAGGAACTTACCGCCGCTGGGCGCGCTCGCGCTCCTGCCGGGCCAGCGCCTCCTTCTCCTGCTCCAGCTGCTCCCGCAGGGTCTCGGCCTGGCGCCCGTAGCGCTGGGCTGCCCGCTCATCCGCCTGCAGCAGCTCGGCCGCGTGCACGCTACGCAGCCTCTTCACCTCCTGCTTGTGCTTGGCGATCAGCTTCTGGATCTCGGGCTCCAGGCCTAGGTGGGGGCACAGCGCTGCAGCGCCCCTGCCTCAGCCACCTTTGCGGCGGGGGGCCCCAGCAGTGCTGGGGGGAACCCCCAATTCTCCCTCACTGTGACGCCAGGGCTGCAATCCATCCAGGGGGCCCCCTGGGGCTCCCACTGATTCCCCTCCTTGCTGCAAGGGCTGTGCGCCCACCCACACTTTGGCCAGTAGGATGTCCCCCGGCAGCGCCCAGACTCCTCGGAGGGGGAGTCCCCGGGACGAGGGTGTCCCACGGTAGGAGCTACGTGACAAGTGGCAGGAAACCTGGGACCCCTGCCCTGAGCTCCCGCCCAGCTCGCTCCCCTGGAAGCCAGAGGAGCTGGGACGGAGGGCAGAGGGAGCAAGGGAAGGCAAGGCCTGTCCCCCGCGGCCGCAGCTGCCTCGTCAGGCCCGGGGCCCACGTCACCCTCTCCGCCAGCCGTGCGGCTGACACCCAGCCTCACCCACAGCCCCCACGCTGCCCCGGGACCGAGGCCGCCATCGCGCACCCCACCTCTGACGGTGATCTCCTTGATCCTCCGCGTCTTCTCGCTCATCCACTTCTCCCTGCGCACCCTCTCGGTGGCACTCATCAGCTCTCGGAGCTTCTTCATCTCCTGCGAGCAGAGGTGCTGCAGGAGCGGGCAGCCAAGCGGGGCGCCCACGGGAGGCTCCCGGCACCCGCCAGCGGCCCTCACGGCCGGGGCTGCCCTGGACGCAGGCTCGGGCGGGGCCTCACCAGCACGTGCTGCTCCTGCAGCTGGGCCTCCCTGTCCCTGCGCCGCTGGTCCCCCTGCTTCAGCTCGGCCACCATGGCCTCGCACTTCTCCCCTAGGGCCTTCTTGTCTTCAATCAGCTGCGGTCGGGGCGGGAGGTGAGCGGCTGCCCCGCGCGATGCCCGACACCCTCGCCTCCCCTTGCCTGGGGGGCAAGCCCCCGACCGAGCCCTTGGCCCCCTCCCGCCCGGGGCTCTGTGCTCGCGGCCAGGGCTGCAGCTGCTCCTGGCCGGCCCTGCCCCCGCTCCCAGCCTGGCTGGTGCCAGCAGAACCCGGATGGGCATGTCTGGGGACGGTGGCCTTGGCGCCGAGCCCCCTCCACTGTGGCCCTGTCACGGCTGTCCTGGGAAAGGGCTCATTTCGCCACGCTCATCACGCGGCCTGGGGAGGGGGCCTGCCACCGCCTGCCGGGGGCGCTCCGAAGCCCCTGGATGGCATCCCGCCTCCCTGGTGGCTCCACAAAGACCCTTGGTTTGGACACACAGACGACCGCTGAGCCAAGCGTCCCTCACGGCCATCGGCGGCCACTTGGCTCCTCCAGGCTCCTCCCTCCAAGCGCTTTGTGCAGACCAAAGCCTGGCGGACGTGCAGCTGAGCACAGACAGGCAGCCGCCCGGGACCCAAGGGCCCCAGAAAGCACAGGGGAGGCTCAGGATGCGTGTCCAAGGAACGCCTCCCACCCATCAGTCCCGAGGGACCCCAGCCGTGGGGAGATCACCCAACGGGGCTGGGGGCCCTTGGACCAGCCTGTTGCACAGGGCACGCCTTGTCCCCACGGGGAAGACACTATCCATTTCACCAGAGGGGGGCGAACGCCCAGCCAGGAAGGCCACGGGCCTAGGAGCCTCCCTGAGGCCTGAGCCGGACCGGAATCGGTCCTGCCCCTCTTTGACCGACCCCGGGAGTCCAGACACCCCTGGCCGGGTGCCCTGCTTCCCGGGCAGCGTCACCTGGTCGATGAAGGACAGGTGCCGCTGGATGGTGGCCTCATAGTGCTCCCTCTGCTGCCGCAGCTGCCGCCCCAGCTCCTTCTCTGTCTCCTTGACCCTCCGGACGGTGAGGTCCCGCTGCTGTGCCTGGGGGTGCGGAGAGAGGGACACAGAGGACACAGGCCACTTGGGGAGCGGCGCTGGCAGAACGCGCTCCCGCGGGAGGCCTGGGACGCGGCGGGGACAGCGGGCGGCAGGCCCCGCCCCTCCCTCTGGGTGCGGCGTTACCAGCGCCCTCTGCAGCAGCACCAGCGCCCGCCTCGTCTCTTCCACCTCCGGCTCCGGCCGCAGCTCGGGCGCGCTCACCTCGGACGCAGACTCCGGGCGCCCCGGGCCCTCCTCCGGCAGGAGCCCCTGAGGCCGCAGGCCGTGTCACACGGGTCTGGTCACGGGGGCGCCGGCCACCCCGCCCGCCCCGGGGGCGCCCCCCCACCTGTGGGGCGGCAGCCGGCCGGTGCTGCCCTGACCTCTCCATCTCGTCCAGGAAGCTCACGAGGCTCTGCAGCTTGGCCTCCGAGAGCAGCGTCCCGGCCTCGGGGGGCCTGGCGGGTGTGCCCAGCTCCCCGAGCTTCTCCGGGTCGCCAGCTGTCAAGGCGCTGGCGTCCTCCTCCTGTGGGCGGGGCACGGGGCGGCCTCAGGCGGCGAGGCCTCTGGGCGGCCTTCCCCCAGCCCCAGGGACCCTGGGCTGGGCGGGGACGGGAGGTCCTCCCGGGCTGCTCGCACCCTCGCGGGGCAGGGTCGGTGCCGTTCTGAGGGTCCTCCGCCTCAGCAAGCCCCGGGGTGACTGGGGGTCCCCGAGGCCCCCACCGGTCCCCTCAGGTCCCTAGGAAAGCAGGAAGAGGCCCAGAGGGTTTCCCTGGATTCTCAGGGCCGACGCCAGGGCCCCGGGCTGAGGGAAGGGAGGGCCGGCAGCCACCTCGCCAGTCCAGGCGTATCTGTCCTTGCGATAGGCCCTAGGGCGGGGCAGTGGCTCCGGCTCCTCCTCCAGCAGCTTCAGGGTGTCCAGCAGCTCCTCCAGGGTCGACCTGAACTCAGCCGTGCTCCTGGCTGGGCCCCCGGTCTCCAGGGCCTCACCAACCACGTCCCGGGAGCCGGTGTCCTGGAGCAGGCGGGTGGGCGGGAGAAGCTACCCGAGAACCGTGGACCAGGTGTGCCCAGGGAAGGGATGTGTCGGGGGCCTGGCCTCCTCAGCCTGGGGGCATCGCTGCCACCTAACCTCTGAGCCTCCAGCTTTCTCTGCGGGTGCAGGCCTGGGCCCCCCCAGGGAGCCTGTGACAATCCAACAGGAGCCCAGAGCCAACCGTGGGACCCTGTCCTTGCAGCAGAGCAGCAGGTCCCGTCTGGTCTGAGGGGCCTAACAGCTGTGGCGGGGCAGGGACAGGGCGGGAAGGGCTGTGACCGGACCTGCGCCTTGTCCTCTGGGAGCTGCCGGGGCTCTGGGGAGGAGTCGGGGACGGGCTGGCCGGGGTCCTCCAGGCCTGCGGTGCAGAGGCTGGTCCCTGCAAAACAGAAGCCAGAGTCAGCCACCCGGGCGTCGCCCCATCAGGAGGGGCCCTTGGAAGAGCCCAGGCACGGAGCAGAGGGGACACTCGGGAGTCCTGACCTCCGTACGGCTCCGGAGAAAGTGGGGCAGGGCAGCCTCTCCCCCCGACCCCGGCTCACCAGCTTTGTTGGCCTTAGGGGTCCGAGGCGGCTGCTGAGCACCGTCTTCCAGCTGCAGTGGTGGGTCCTGGCCTGTCCGAGGTGTCCCCGCCTCCCAGGGCCCCTTCAGCAGCCCAGGCCCGGCGGCGCCTGCCTTCTGGGCTCGCTTCTGCTGTAGCTCCTGTGGGGGAGCCCGCTGAGTGGCTGCACCCACGGCCCGCGGGGGCCCCTCGCCCGCCCCACCCAGCCGCCAGTGGGACGCGGTCTGGGGCTGCAGCACCTGAATAGCTGCCTGGCGGGCCTGGCGCGCCTTCCCCTCCCGGGCCTTCCTCCTGGCCGCCGCCTCCTGTCGGTGTGGGCCCAGCAGGTCCCCCTCCGCTGGCCGCCGGGGAGGCGGGGTTGCTGATCTGGAGGTGGGCTTCCATGCGCCCCCACGGGTCCCCCAAGCTGCCATTTCTCTGCCCTGCAGAGGAAGCCCCCTCCCGGGGGCTCCTTCGGGTAAGATGGCTCTGCACTCGTGGAGCAGGGCCTCCCAAGCCAGAAACCGGCTCAGACTGCTCGGCCGGGGCAGACCCAGCCGGTGTTTCCCAACACCCAGGCCCTACTGAGCCGCTCAGGGAAGGGTGGCGGGCAGGTGCCCAATGGAGCGGACCATGGGCTACTCTAGTTTCAATCCTATGGTCCCAGAAACCCTGACGTGTGGCTGGGAGCCCGGAATTCCTGCTCGCCCGACCCCCGGGGGCGGCTCATGCCCACACTGACCTCTCGCCTGGACACCAGCAGGTGCTCCAGGCTGGCGGCCGGGGCTCTGCGCCGCTGCGCCTGGCGCCGGTACCAGCGCTGGATGGTGGTGGCGGCCTGGCTCACCTGGTGGATAAACCTGCCCAGAGAGTAGACTCAGGACCTGAGGAGCCAAGCGGCTCAGGGCCCCGGAAGGCCCATCAGGGCAGAGGCCGGCCGCTGTACGCACAGGTGGCCCACAGTCCCCATCCACAGGCTTCATTCACAACCACCTGGAAAGGGAAATCGCCCAAGGCCTGCCGCCTGCAGGCTCAGGCGGCAGGTGCAGACAGAAGGCCATAGGCCATGGCCCCGGCAGGGGTGGCTCAGTGGACGAAGCGCTAGCCTGCGAACCAAAGGGTCGCCGGTTTGATTCCCAGGCAGAGCACAGGCCTGGGCTGTGGGCTGATTCCCTAGCAGGGGGCACGCGAGAGGCAACCACACACGGATATTCCCCTCTTTCTCGCTTCCCTTTTCTAAAATACATAAAATCTTAAAAAAACAAAAACAAAACCCCAACCCCAAGAAACAACAGAGGAGAAAAGATCACAGGCCGTGCGCTCCAGCCGTAAAGCGTTCTAGGAAAGACAAAGCCACGCGGGGACAGGTCGGGTGGCCTGGTCGGCTGGGAGGTGCTGGATGCAGGGCTGTGAGGGACCTGGGGGTGACGGACACGCCACGTCCGGCTGCGCCGGATCCGCAGGCACGGCTGCACAGGCGTCACCGCTCACCCCACGGGTCACTGAAGGGGTGCCCTTTGCTGTGCCGGCTACACACGCTACGCGGTGACGAAACGCGGGGCCTCAACCTTGGCGTCAGCACCACGTGTTCGCTTCCTCAGCAAAGGCACGAAGCACCCAGGATGCGATCGGCCGCCTGCCGCGGGACGTCCTGGGGGACGGGCCAGGGGCCCCCCGCCCGGGCCTCCGCGGGGGGCGGGCAGGTGGGGGCGAGCGCAGCTCCGGGCCTCGGCCGGCTCCTCCCGCCGCGGGCTGTCAGGGCCCGGGCCCCAGGCTCCAAGGACCACACACGGGGACCACCCAGCTGGGCGCAGGGGTGCAAGGTGATGTCACAGACCCGGGGCCACGGCAGAAGGTCCCGCCACGCCCCCGTCTCCAGAGCAGATCCAGAACCTGGGTTTTTTTCCTATTCTTACCTTTGCACTCAACGCTTCACTTTTACTGAAACGTAACCCACGTGCTACAATCGCCCCCTTTGTGTATGTGGCTCAGGAACTTTTCAGCAGAGTCTCAGCGCGCCGCCCGCCCGAGGCCCTCCCGCGGCCCCGCGCGGCCCCCAGCCTCGCCTTTTCTACAGGTTTAGGGCGAGCAGACTCGGACGGCACGCGGTCTCTCTGGCCCCGTACCTCACGCGATCGTTCTGCAACTCTTCCATTGCCAGAGCCTCACGCTCCCCGCCCGCCCACAGCCTGCGGTCACCTCTCGGCCTCCTCCTCGGTCACCTCCCTCCGCCTGGGCAGGCCCTCGGGGGCCCCTGTGTCGTTCCGGGCCACGGGTCGGCTGCTGGCAAAGTTCTTCTGCGGCTTCCCCGAGCTGCCGCCCTCGCCCTCGCCCTCGCCGGCGGCCGCCTTGACGAGGTTGCTGGGGACACAGAGGCAGAGCGGCTCGCAGTGCCCCGCCCGGAGCGCTCGGCCTCCGGACGGAGGCCGTGCCCGCGGGCGTGGTGGCCGCCTCAGCCTCAGGCCTGGCAGGAGGTGCCGCAGGCCACCCGGAGCCGGCGAGGGCCTGCGCCCCATTCCCACCTGCCAGGCCATCCCCCAAGCACTCGTCTGGTGGCCCCTGGGGTTCCCTTCAAAAGCAAACAGGTCTCAGGGTCCCAGAGGGTCCGGGAGGGGCCTCGGGAAAGCCCGCGGCTGTCTCTGAGCACACGGAAGTGACACACACTCAGCCCAGCCCCCGCAGACCCGCCCGGCTCTGGACTCAGCCGGGGGCTGGGGCCTCATCAGGAGGACCGCACAGGGGCGCCCGGCGGGCCCGGTCCGTCCCCCACCAGCGCCACGGGGGAGGCGGCGGCAGCCCCGGGGGTCACGCGCGCGCCCAGGCCCTTACTTGAGAGACGGGGCTGTGCGGTTGGAACTCTTGGGGGGCGCCGCGTCCGGGGGCGCGTACCGGTTGTGCACCATGGCGGTGACGCAGTTGCCCACAGCCGCCTTGCTGCTCCTGCCCAGAGACGGGAGGCGGCTCAGGCTCGGGGGCGTGGACGGCAGGTCCCCAAGGCACACACGTGGCCGCCCCCGCGCGGCCAGCGCACCCGGCAGCGGGGCCTCCGTGAGCCCCGGGAAAGCGCCACCAGGGCGTTCGCCGAGCCGACCGGAGCCGTGCAAACCGCAACCCCGGCCCTACACAAGCCGAGGGCAGGAGGACGGCCGCAGGCGGTCGGCGCAGAGCGGGCCTGTGCGCGCCAGACCCGCCAGGAGGAAGAGACAAGGCACGCGCGCACAGAACGAGGGGGGCGGGGGCGCAGCACAGAGGCGCCCGCCAGGCTTCAGGGCGGGAGGGACAGGCAGCAGGTGGGGAGCCCGGGTGCTGCGGCCGTGGGGCACCCCAGGACACGGGACACGGCTCTCCCAGAGGAGCCACCGACCCTGACCCGCCCTCCCCAGGACCCTCCCCTCTGGCAGCAGCAGACAGGGGAGAGCTGTGCCGGTGCCGCGTCCCAGGGAGGTGGGCTTCGGAGTCCCTGTCAGATCCAGGACCAGAGCCTGGTGCCAGGCCGCCGAGCAGAGAGCTTGTTACAAGTGAGGGAAACCAATAGCACGTCCCAGACGCCTGCAATTCTCGGGACTCCGAGGAGCAACTCCACTGCCGTCCCCAAGAAGGAATGAGGATGCAGGGCCCCCGGAGGGTAAACACCCCCGTCCCACAGCAAACGAGACGCAGAATTGGAGTTCAGCCCACGCAGACGCGTGGCCCCAGCGGCCCCGACTCCGGCCTGACCCCCCTCCGCCAGGATATGGGTGCCCCCGTGGGTGGGGCGGGGCAGGGGCGTGAGAGCGGCCCCGTCTCCCGCAGGGTAGGCCCGCGACTGAGCGACAGCAGCAGCAGCAGCAGCAGCCGTAGGTCTGGGCGACGTTCCCTAGAGAACAGCGGAGCGGCCTGCAGGGGCCGCTCTGGGGGCAGGGCTGGGTGCAGGGGACTGGTTTCGCCTGCGTTCGTCCCCAGTCGGTGGGGCTGTGGGACTTCTCCGCTACGTGCGCGAGTCGCTGATAGAAACGAAGCTCTCGTTTAAGTCCTGGTGTCAGACGCTGGGGCAAGACCGCAGAACGCCTCTCAGACGTCCTGTGCCTGACAGTGGTGCCAAGCACAGGGCGGCCCTCTTGGGCTCGGCCACGAGTGGTCCCCCGTCCCTCTGCATGCCGTCCCCACTGGGGCCGAGCGTGGGCGGGTGCGGGGACCAGCTTTCCTGGCAGCCCCAAGTGGCTGCTCCGAGCCTGGATCCTCCTGCAGCTTCTCCAGGCCCCTGCCCATCCCGTCGGTTCCGGGCCGCCAGCCCCGCGGCCGAGGCCCAGCCACTGGTCCTCTCCTGGCCCCGCTCGGCCATCGCCCTGGGCGTGCTTTGCTCTGCCGCGCCACAGCGGGCTCGGCTGAGAAGTGCCCGACGCAGCCGGACGATGACGGGCTCCCAGCCGACAGGGCACAGGCACGGCCTGAGGTGTCACACGCCGCCCCCCCGAGACGCATGGGCGAAGCCTCGACGAGAATGGCTCGCAAGCCTCGAAAGGCCGCCTGCACGTGCCCCGTCCTGGCCAGACCTCTGCAGCGGGGGAGCCCCCGGTGCGCACCTGTCTGGGCTCCCTGAGGCCAGCGCAGAGCCCGGCGGGCAGGACACCCCGGCAGCCCCTTCTCAGGGCCTCGGGAAGGGGCCAGCCATTCACTCGCTGAACTCATTCACTCAGGACAGAGCGTCTGCCCCATGGGCAGGCCGCGCCCAGCGCCCGCAGCGGGAGCACCTGTTGTTGGCAGTGAAGCTGGGTGCCAAGGGAATGGTGCGCTCTCTCCGCCGTGGGCCCGCCGGCACGTCCAGGGCGCTGGGACTCCGGGCGTCGGGCGGCAAGGTCAAGGCCCTGGGCTGCTCATCCTGCCAGTGAACACGGGTGCCGCCTAAGCCCACGACCCTGCGCAAGCCAGCGGACCCTGAGCCCCTTGCCTGCCCCCACAGCCTTGCCCCCAAACGAGCGATGGGGGTCCCAGGGGGAGGGGAGTCCCGCTCCTCCTCTGTTGTGACATGTAGTCAAAGCTGGCATAGGTCCCCCCCTCCCTGGAAGGGGCAACAAAACAAAGGAGAAGCCAGGTGTCCCCCAGAAGGGACAGTCAGACCAGACTCGGCCCCAGCTCTCACCAAGACGTTCCACGAGGCCCCCGTCTCGCTGGAAGCTTTGCTCAGGCCGGCCGGCCTTCTCCTGCCGGGGCTGCCCTCAACGAGCGCCAGGAAGTCGGGAGGCTCCGCCGGACTATGTCAGAGAGGACAGCAGGCAGGAACAGCCAGTCACTCGCCTGGGCGGGGAGACAGATTCCAGGAACGCAGGCGGGACGGCTTCTAAAAGGGTGGGAGGTCCGGTCCCCAGCCGGGATTCTGTCCCCGAGCCTGTAGCTCAAAATAACGCTTCTTGGTCCCGATGGGACACCCAGCCATCCCTGGAAGGGCAAGGCCCCACCCCACGGCCGCCACGACGCCCCGGGAAAAGCACGGCAAGGACAGAGCGGGGCCGGCGGCAGGGGACACGGGCCTCGAGGTCCACATGCAGACACAGCAGGTCAAGACGTGTCCTGCTTGCCCCGCCCAGGACTGGACCCGAGTGAGGGCAACCTGGGCCCCGCTGCCCAGCCAGTGCCCACGCTGGCGAGGCCGGGAGAAGGGCTGGCACGGGCAGGACGGGGGCGGGCGGGTCGCCTGAGGGGCCGGGTTACCTGAGGGGGCCAGCCCACGCCTGCCTGGCCTGCGGCCGGTGGACCTGGGTGGCGCTGCTGGATCTGCGGAGGTTGTTGATGGCCCTGGGGCCCCCGGCTGCAGCCTCCTGAGAGAGGGAGGAAACCACCACCGCGCGGTCAAGGCTTCGGACGCTCGCCCGGCCCTTCGGCGCCGGCCCGGCAGGGCAGGTTTGGAGGAAGGAGGTGGGTGCGGTGAGAACGGGGGCGGCAGGCGTGCCTGGGGATCCTGGGCGTGGCCTCCATCAGCCCCCCTTCCTGGAAAGAGGCGGAGCCCCTTGCCCCTGGTGGCAGAGGGTCCGAGAGCAGAGGTGGGGGGCCGGGCGCCGCAGCAAAGTCCATGCGTCTTTGTGGTCGCTCCCCGACCCGCGGGCCTGCCCGCCCCCTTCCCTGCAAGACTCAGACAAACCCAAGTGTTGACAGGGCAGGAGGGAGTGAGAACATGGGCCTGGCAGGGCCTCGGTGCTGCCTCGGGCCAGCAGGCTCCGTGAGTGAGCTCCCGGGTCCTTCCTGCCCCCGGACGGCCGCAGGGCTGGAGGGGGCGACGGAGGTAAGGTGCCTGCTGAGGTGCGGGGCGTACCCTGCGGTCAGCGGCCACCCTGATGGCAACCCCAGGAGGTACGGCGCCCAGAGACCCCGGACGCCGCCGGCCCGGGCACTCACCAGCGCCTTCCTCCTCGGCTCGCTGCCCGCGACCACAGAGATGGAGCGAGTGATGGGCTTGGCGGCAGAGGCGCTGCTGGGGCGCCACGACACGGGCGGGGGGAGCCCCGTCAGGCTCAGATCCAAGGCTTCCAGGCTGCCTGTGTGCGGGCCAGGCGGGCCGCTGACGGCCCGGGAGCCCTTCATGCGGGGGCCCTGGGCAGAAGAGAGGCGGCGCGGTGAGGCCGTCAGCGGACCGGGCCCCACGCCCACCACCTCCGCGAGGCCTCCGGGAGCGCAGGGCGCCTGGACTGCCGGCCACCAAGCACCCAGGAAGCCTGCGGTCCCCTCCCCAAAACAAGCCCCCTGTCAGGGCAGGACTCTGGGGACGCGAGGCCTCTCCCTGGAGGGGCCCACTCAGCAGTGGCCAGACTGCAGGCGGCGCGGGTCTGGGCCCACTCTCCATTTACCCGCCACAGACGCACCGCCTGTCCGAGCCCCGTGGTCACCCTCTATAAGGCGGACATTTAAAAAGTGCCGCCTCACAGGACTGTCACGCTGCTCAGACGAGGGGGCGGGGGCTGGCGTTCCCACCAGGACTTGGACTGATGAATGCTGCCCAACTGAGGGTCCCCGAACTATCGGGCCACAGGACCCTCTCCATTTCCTCAGGCTCCACCGAACACCCACGAGTGTCCAGGACCCAGCACCTGCCCTCTCTCGCTTCCAGGTTGTCCCCCGCCAGCCCCCCAGCACGGCGCACCCGGGGCCTCCCTTGCCGGCCCTTCCTCCTGTGGACCCCTGAGGTCTGAGGGCGCCTGGCTCAGCCCAGGCCTCCCCCTCCGTCCACCCCGTCGCCTGGCACACAGCCTCTGGCCGCCTGCGCTGTCCCCTAACTCCTGACTCAGGCCACCACCCCCGCCCCGGCACCGGAGACCCGAAGAGACCAACACACTCCCCACCCCTCCTCCAGCTGCCCCTGCCCAGCAGGCACATACCTGCTCCCCCGGCTGCACTCTCCCTGCCCGTCTGTCCCCTCCGGACACAAACCCAGCCTGAGTCCCGTGTCCTCGAACCTGGACGACCGCAGCAGCTCCTCCCCACACAGCGGCCAGAGCTGACCTTTGTGAACAGGGTCTCAGATCACCCCATAGCCCAGCCGAAAACCTGCCCACGGTCCCGAGGCGTGGAGTGCGGAGTCCAAATGCCTCCCACCCTCAGGTCCGACGGCCTCGCCACGGCCACCCTCCGCTTCAGCCACACCAGGCTTCCGGCTGCACTGGGACGGGGCCTTGGCCAGTCTGCATCCGGGGGGAGACTCACACCTGCGGGCCCCTCGGCCTGGAGCCCCTCCCCCAGGTCGTCGCTCAGAGGCCCTGGCCCCCGTCACTCTTCCTTCCCTCATCCTGCCTTTTTCTTCACCTGGCACTCTGGCCGCCCGGCCCCACGGGTTGGTCTGTGCACTGTCTGACCGCCTCGCAAAAGCTGAAGCCCCACGAGGACCGGGGTGGTGTGGCCCAGCGCCCGGCCCGCGGCAGGCGCTCAGCAACAGGGTGGACGAGCCGCTCGAGGAATGACCACGGGGGAAAGGGCACAGTCCTGCGGGGCACCGGGGGCACCGGGGCCACCGGCGGCCCTGGCGAGCTGGCGCGCGCACGCCTGTCCTCCCCGCGGTCGGTGCGCGGCCCGTGGCCCTGAGCTGGGAGCCGGCCGTCCCTGCCACTCCCCAGGCCCGGGACTCGGGCAGCGTGTGCGGCTGCGGGGCTGAAACTTAACACCCCTCCCCAGGACCCCGCGGCCCCGTCCCGGCCACGCAGCAGCGCGTGCGGCGCTCGGGGCAATAAACAGCCTCTCCGTGGAAACGCCTGGGCCAAGCCGCCCTGCGCACGGAGGTTCCTCCCTTGAGGGTGGGTGTCAGGGGCGCGGCCGGGACCCCCGGACGGGCTGCCCCAGGGCCGCTCCCTAGCTCCCCAGAAAGAACCTACAGCCGCGGACCGGGCCCCCCCGTCACCCACCCCGGGAGGCCGAGAGCGCAGCCGGGCGCGGGCAGGAGCCTCTTCACCTGCACGTGCCCCTCACCTGCGCGAACCCGGCGGGGGCACGAAGCCTGCGCGGCCAGAGGCGAGGGGTGAGGGGGGTCCGCCCAGTGGCGGTGCGCGGGGGCCCAAGCTTCGGGCGACGACCTCGCGCCCACGGCTCCGGCTCCGCGGCCCAGGTGACGCTGACGCCGCCGAGCGGTCCGGCGAGCGGAGGCTGCTAGCAACCAACAGCAACCCGCCTGGCACGTCCTCCTCTGTCCGTCACGAAGGCCCGCCTTCCTTGCCCGCGCCGCTTCTGGATTGGCCCTCCAGCTGGCCGCTCCGGCCGCCGCCGGCATTCATTGGGCCGGTCGGCTGTCTGTCGAGAAGTTCAAGCGTGGGAGGAGCCGCGCAGACCGGGGGGCCGCCACGGCGACGGGCTGCCGATTGGACGCCACTGGAGGGGGCGGGGGCCTCACGGGCGTGGGCGGAGCCCGAGCGGGAACGTGGGGAACAGAAGCGGAGAGAAGGGGCGGGGCGGGGCGGGGCGGGGCGGGGCGGGGCGGCTCCAGGTCCCGGGTCCAGCACCCCCTCCCCGGGCACCCCCCGCACCCACGCCGCCTTGCCTCCCATGCAACCCTGGAAAGTTCTCTATTTCTAGTGTGCTAGGAGTTTTTTTCATAAATAAAAGTGGGATTTTGTCTCTTCTGCTTTTTCTGCATATTCTTCTTCACTGATGTGTGAATACGGTGAATTACAGTGGTTTTCAGACGTTAAACCGGTCTTCCGTTCCCAGGATAAATCCCACCTATCGTGGTGCAGGCCCCTTCTACACACGGCTGGATTCGACTCGCTCGTGCTCTGCTAAGGAGCTTTGCATCTGTGTTCACGAAGGATATTGGCCCCTCGCTCTCTCTAGACCAAGTGCCCAAGGGACACTCAAGAACACTGCAGTCTAGGCCGCAAAACAAACTTTAACAAAAGTTTGAAATTTTTAACGATAAAGTTCAAGTCATACAAAATGTCATCTCGCTGTATCACTTAAAGTAGTTAATAACAGGAATAACCTAACTTTAACCCTAGACAAACAGGAAGTCACAAGGAAAATTATGAAGTATTTTGAACTGAATAAAAATAAATAAAAGTTCATGAGACGCAGACAAAGCAGCATAGAGGTTAGAGCATCAGAATGCTTCCATTAGAAAGGAATAAACAGCTCAAATAATAATCTAAGCTCCTACCCTAAAGTAGGAAAAGAAAAATAAACATCGCGCTCAAGGCAGTAAGAGCAGAAGTCAATGAAGTAGAAAACATGAAAGCTGTAGAAAAATGAAACCAGAAGTCAGTTCGTTGAAAAGATCAATGATGTTAATATATTTCTAATCAGATTAACCAATAAAAAGAGAAAAGAACTGTCATTACCGAGAGAGGAAATTACTGATCCTAAAGAAATTAAGACAATTTGACAACTTCTATGATATGGACTGACTTCCTTAGGAGGCACAAGTTACTGAAACTCACAAAGAAATACATAATCCAAACAGTCTGTGTCTACTTAAGAGACTGAGTTTCTTGGAAACATTGTAATTAAGAAAACAGCGGACCCAAACAGTCCTGGGGGGAGGGGCACGCCACCGAGAGGAGCCCTGGGAGCGCCCTGGTAAACACCAGTTCCCTCGTTCTTGCTCTCCCGTTCTCTCACACACCCTCCCCGCACCCCCCCCCACAGGGTTTATCCAGGAGGCACACAGAGCTTCCCCACCAGCCCACCACCCGCCCCCGGGGCAGAGCGGACTTGGGTCGCCTGAGGGGCTGCCCTGGGCTGGGCCCCACCCCACCCCCATCCAGACCCAGGTGTGCGGCTGCTTAGGGCTGCCCTGCGGAGGGAGGTTCTGAGCTCAAAACCAAAGATCCAGGAAGTGGCTCCAAATCCACACCAGAAACCTGGTTCCCACGTTTCTCCCAGGGACCCCGAGGGCCTGCGGCCCACCGGCCCGCTGCACAGGGACCCGAGGCCCAACGACCAGCTTCTGGGGGCCTGGGGGGGGGGCAGCCCTAGGGCCTTCCCCTCTGGGTCCCTGCAGAGCCAGCAGCAGCGGCCCCCCCCCCGCCCCCAACACCCGCTGCCATGGGAGGAGCTGGGTGCCACCCTGCACTCTGCCTGCGAACTCCAGGCAGCTCAGGGGGCGTCCGGTCTCTGAGCTCGATCACCAGGCCTCCCTCCTGTCCTGACCCCTCCAGGGAGGCCACGGGACCCCTTCTGCCCCACTGAGGGGCCTGACAGATTCACAGGTGGGACCAAACAGGCCACGTGCTCCTGTCGTCAGAGCAGACGACTGTGAGGCAGGAGGCCGAGCAGGCCCCACCGGCGACCCATCTGGACAAGAGCTCAGCTTCTGATGCTGCCGAAAACCAGCCAATCTGGGCACGTGGCGCCCCCGCGGGGAGCTGCTGGTGCCGCCACGCGTCCAAGAAGGGCCGTCGGGCTCTGGGCAGCCCACGGGCTCCTGCTCACGTTCCCGGACAGCGTCCGTCCACGTGGAGCTCCCCGGGCCGGGCGGCTCCCTGCCCAGGCCTTGGAGCGAGTGGCGCGGAGAGGCCAACCGCAGACACCGGCGCTGAGGGCAGAGGGGACGGATGGAGCTGCGGGGTCCTGGGAGTCACGGGCGGGGGGGCACGCCATGTGCAGCCCAGGCCCACGAGGTCAGGAGTTTAAGAATGCAAAAGCTGACAGCTCTGAGCCGGGGGGCTTTTTGGCCGCCACCCTCTGCGACAACGTCCCAGGGGGCCGTGGGGGATCCTCCTCCGCAGTCCCAGCTGCCACCAGGCGGGGGCAGGCCACCAGCTCCATGCCGGCAAACAAGGAGCTGTGGCTGTCACTGGCCCCCGGGCTCCATGGGCAGCCGTGGGGGCCCCGACTGTGCTCCGGCCCTCCAGGTGGGGTGCGCGCGTGTGACAGGCCCTGCTCAGGCCTGGCCTCCGGGTCTGCGGCACCTGCCAGTCTGGTCTCGACTTCCGTGGTGTCCCCGAGGGCTGGAAGGGGGGACCCATCCAGGGGACGAGGGGCTGTAGGGTCCTTGGGCGACCACAGGGTTGAACTCAGCGGCTGGAGAAACGCCTGGCCTCCCGGGAAAGGCACCGCGTCGGTCAGCAGGTCCGAGGGGCCCCCGCAGCTGGTGGCCTCGGGGCTGGGCTCGGGCAGGGGCCTCCGCGCAGGAGGCCGCTGTCGGCAGGAGGCTTCGAGATGCCTCAGGATCTGCACGCGGGAGAAGGGGCCCTGGTGAGGCACGCAAGGCGCACCCCGCCCAGGGCCTGGCTCCCCCTCGAGGCCGCGGCCCAGGGCGGGGCCGACTCAGGGCGCACGCGCCCCTGCTCCGCGCCCAGCGGTCTCCTCACTGCCGTCCCAGCTGAAGGGCCGCTGGGGGCCTCAAGCTGCACAGACACCAGGCCACGCCAAGTGTGCCAACAGACGCCACCACCTGCTCCCCGGCCCGCTGTCCCGTGACAGCGTCTCCCCACCAGGGAACCTGCCACGTGGTGAGCCAGCACCGGAGAGCAGCCCTGGAGGCAGCACACGTGCCCCAAACCCGGCTCTCCAGGAATGCCACCGGGAGGCCCCACCGTGCCGCCGCGCGCTCCTGGCCGCTGCTTTGATGAAGCATGACTTAGGGCCTGGCAGCTAAGGATCTGCACTGTCGGTGGCCGAGAGGAAACGGGCAGAAGCCGAGGGATCCCGACGGGCAACGGAGGGGCGGGACCCAGCTGTGAGGACAGGCCCGAGCGGGTCGGCGGCTCCGCACAGCCCAGGCGCTAGTGGGAAGGGGACTCGGCTGGAGGGAACAGCTTCTGCCCTCGCGGAGCCGCAGACCCGGGGGCCACACACAGACCAGGGAGGCGGCGGGGGCGGGGGGATGTATATGCCCCAGCAGGCGGGGCGCTTCCTCTGGGCGTGGGCAGCTCGCAGGGCAGGGCTGCTGGGCAGCGAGGGGGCACGCGGGGCGGGGGCGGGCCCAGGAGGCAGCCGGCGAGCCTGGAGCCCCCTGAGCAGACAGGAGGCCAGGCCCGACCCGGGCAGAAAAGGGGGACAGAGGCAAGGGGGGCATGCCTGGAAAACACCAGAAAGAGAGGGCGTCCCTGTACCCACTCCTCCAGGCCCCAGCTGCCACCCACCTTGGTGGCCTTGTGGGTCACGGGTCCGGGGCGTCCCGCGCTGAGCTCCTGCAGGCGCGGCCGGGCGAGGAGCAGGATGTGCTCCGGAGACAGAAGGTCTGTGCAGCCCAGCGAGGCGATGGCACCCAGGGCTCTCTGCAGGCCGGCGGGGGCGGGGTCAGCAGGCTCCACCCCAGAAGGCCCGAGTCCCAGTGTCCCCTGGGTGCCCACTGGAACCCTGCGCTCGCCCCCTCCCGCCCGTCTCCGCGGGCCGCCCGTGGGCGCGCCGCCTCACCATCTGCACGCACTCGCCGGTCCCGCCCAGGTGGCGCGTCAACAGCTCCAGCACGGCCTCGCAGTTGAGCAGCCCGCACCTGCGGGAAGGGGGCACCTCACAGCGTGGGCGCTGAGGCCTTCGCCTCCATGCGCCGCGGGCGAAGGGCAGGTGGGGAGCGGGGTGTCGGTCGGGGCTCACTCTTTGACGAAGCGCTGTGCCTCCTCTTGGCTCAGGAAGGCGCGCGGCCCCTGTGTCACCATCTGGACCAGCCTCAGCTCCTGCTGGCAGTCGCTCAGGGTCATGGCCTCGACCCTGTCAGGGGCACAGCTGGTCAGGGCAGAGGGCGGGCCCTCCCAGACCGCACCCCTCAGGGAGGGGGCCCTGGGGAAGCCCCGGCTCACCTCTCGGCCAGGTCACTGGGTGCCCGGCTGGCTCCCGAGGGGCTGTCGCTGCCTGACCTACTGCCCGAGCCCGAGCCCTCGCTCCGGCCGCCCTCCTGGGAAGAGCCCTGAGAGCCGGGTCCGCCGCCCTGCTCGTCCCAGCCCCCGCCGGCCTGTCCGGGCTGGTGTCTCACAGCTGGGAGACACGGTGCCGCAGGTGAGACCCGGGGCCTCAGGCCAGCCTCGCCCCGCCACCTGGGGACCCTTGGACTGGGGGACCCGGGAGGAACCAGGGCGGCCGCCTGGGTTCCGGTTCCAGGAACAGGACGAGGAGCGAGGGCAGAGCGGGCACGGCCTCGCACCAGGGTCAGGACGGGCAGAGGCCGGGGCTGCGGCTGCCGACCCTGCCTCTGAGAAGCGGGGACGAAGGGACACACGGGGACACCCCCCCAGGCCGTTTGCTCGGAGCAGCGGGCAGAGTCCGGATACGGCGGGCCCGCACCAGGCGAGGCGGCAGGCCACAGGGGCCCCGGGCACGTGCGTGGCACCGACGGCAGGCTCTGTGGGGCCAGCCGCCCTCTTTCCCTCCCTCCCTGGCCCAGGCTGGGCCTGGCCCGAACCGCACGGAGCCCCAGCCGCGCACAGAAGGAGCCTGGGGGAGGGAAAAGGCAGACCCCCGAGGGAGGAGCCGCCCCGTACCTCGGGCCCCCAGGAGCGTGTTCCCAGGGGCGTGCTGGCTGTGGCTGGCTGAGGGCGGCACAGCAGGCTGGTAGGCGTCACCCCGCGGCGGGGCCCCCTGGGTGCCAGGGCCCTCAGGCCCTGGGCGCACCGCATTGGCCACCACCTCTGCGGCCTTCTGGATGGTGGAGAGGAAGGCTTCCCCCGTAGAGCCTGTGCCAGAGGGACAGGGGGACGGCCCAGCCCCTCAGCCGTGTCCCCCAGCGTCCTCCCAGGAGGTGGGGCCACGGCTGCTCCCGGCTCGGGGCACGGGGCACAAGCTCACGCGCACTCCCAGCCGACGGGGCTGGTCGCGTCCACCTGTCAAAACTGGACCGGCCAGCTCCTCCTGCCCTGTGTCCCCTGGCGCATCTGGCCCCCATCCCTGCCCCGAGAGCCACACAGCACTCACCGGTGTGGCCCTGGTCCTTGCTGTAGCCGAAGCCCTGGAGGGCGCTCTGGGGCCTGGACTGGGAGCCCATGCCTGCGGGGGGGACGGGGTCACCCGACAGCTGAGGGGCGCGAGCCCCACCCCGGGGAAAGCCTGTGGCAGGCTGCGGAGGGGCTGCGGTGGCTGCATACCTGCGGGAGGCAGGGTCCTGCGAGGCTGGGAGGGAGGAGGAGGGGACAAGGTGTCCGAGAACAGGGCGCTCTCCAAGTCCTGGGCAGGAGATGAGGGCGCTCAGTGTGGCCGCAGGTCCGGCTGTGCCCCCTCCCACCACCCACCCCTGAGGGTCCCCCCACAGCAGGGCAGCCGGCGTCCCATCCCGGGGCTCACCTGGGCGGCCGCCCGCACTTTCTGGTACAAGCTGTTCCCGTGGAGAGGGTCCGGGGGTCCCGTGAACACTGCAGGGTGGGGAGAGCAGGGCCCTGCTGGGCAACTTCAGGGCCCCCGGCCCCGCCCCTATGGCCACCCCCCCAACCCCCACCTGGCACCCGGATGAGGGCAGGCTGGGCCCGCACTGGATGCCGGGCCCGCAGGCCCCCCTCCCACGGCCTCCCGGGCCTCCCGAGAGCTCAGGCGCACTGCGCTCCCGGCTTCAGGCCCCGGGAGCTGCCCTGGGTAGGAAGCAGCCCCAGGCAGGGAAGGCTTATGCGTCCGCCAGGAACCGACGGCGTGCCTGCCGGGCACTGGGACAGACAGACGAGACGGTCTGGCTCGCGCAGGCCCGACAGGGCACAGCCAGAGACAGTCGCTGGCAGCAGCGCAGTGAGGGCGGCAGACGGCGGAAGGCACCGCAGGACTCAAACGGAGGGACACGGCGCAGGGACGCCGGAGGGGAAAAGGGCCCCCGTCGGTGGGGGAGGCAGATGCCAGCGACAGGGGCCCAGAGTAGCGCACAGGGGGGTCCGGGAGGCGGGGGCCACGCCCAGACTCAGGGCCACCGGCTGAAACCTGCCCCGGCCCCGGCCCCGCCCCCGGGGCTGCACCTGCGGCCTCCTGGATGAAGGCGGGGTTGCGCTTGAGGATGAGCAGGAAGGAGGGAGAGCCGTGCCCGCACAGGTGGAGCATGATCTTCAGCACCTGCGGGACGGTCACGTGGGGCAGGGACAGTCATGTGGGGCGGGGCCAGGCCCGGGGAGCCCCCGCCCCCGCTGCGCCCCTCCCCTTCCACCCCACCGCCCGCGCCCATGGGCGCGACCTCAGGCCCCGCCGAACCCAGGGCCGCCGGCGCTCCCCGCCGCACCTTGAGCTTCACGCGCCCGGAGCCGCTCTGCAGGCGGCACAGGAGGTATTCCAGCAGGCACTGGCTGCTGCCCAGGCACTCGTGGGAGATCCCTGGGAGGCGCGCGGGTTAGGGAAAGAGTGGCTGGCATGGGCCTTCCTGTCACCGACCCCGCAAGGCGCCCTCCCCGCAGGCGCCCAACCAGGCCCCGGTTTCAGGGGCCTCTGGCCTCCAGGGGTCGTCGGCCTCCTGTGGCTTCAGACCCACCCACACAGGGTGACTCTGGAAAAGAACCACAGACCCCCCAGGATCAAAGCCCAGGGACCTTGCGTGGGGACACAGGAAGGATACTGGCAATCTCCTCAAACAGGTAGCCCGGACACGGCACGTCATCGTCCGACGTCCCCTTCAGGAGAACCGGGAGCTGAAAGGCAGCGAGATGCCCACCCGTGAGCAGCCACTGTACACAGGGGCAGGCCCACGGCCTCCAAGGGACCGGCCACCCCTGCGAGATGGTTGGAATGCTCGCTCTCGGGGCTCCTGGGGACGCCAGTCTCTCTCGCTGTTGGCATGCTGCTGGGTGAGGGACCCCGGAGAGGACAGCGGTCCCACCAGCCGCAGGGAGCTGGCAGGAGCCTCCCTTCTGGACAGTCATGGTGACGCACCATCCTGCTTTGGCCCGGAAGCGACACAGCCCCCCAGCCTCTGCGCTAACAGATGGGCAAGATGACTTCAAGGCACCTTTACTACGGCTACTTACCAAACACAAGAAAGTAGGGAAGTGAGCCCCTTTCCCGTCCGGGGCGCTGGGAAGGGTCTGCCTTTCTGGAGCACAGACTGGCCACGTGACATAATCCCTAGATCTGACCCCCCGACAGCTTAACCTGGGGGAACCCACCCACGGCAATAAGCCACCCATACGGGGAACAGCTCACTGTGCGTATTTGTTTGCGAGCTCAACGCAAACATACTCGTGTTACACGCTTGCGCGTTACCTTGAGAGTGAAAACCAGAACCTGCATTTCTGCGTGGGCCCCCGCGGGAGACAGGACACAGGGCCTCGGGGACACTCAGAACAGGGCTGGCCACAGACTAGTTTCAATGGCAACTGTCTAGTGTCACAACATGTGCCTGACTGACACCCAAGGCTGTGTGCACACACCACTGACGCCGCATGTCCACCGAGACCCACAGTGGAGCCGGAGTCTGGAGCCCTGGAACCGCGGCCGCGGAGGGGCCCTCCGCACTGAGAACGGGTGGGGCTTCTAGCAGCGGGAGGAAGGCCCCGTCCTCCTAAAACACCCCCTGAGAGAGCTCTGGGCACCAGGAGAACGGATGTCCACTCTGGCCCACACCTGGTCACAGGCTCCCTGCCTCTGTCGGAGCATTTACTGGAAAGGGCTCACAATCGTCAGCACGGATCTCCTGCAACTCCGGAGGCCGTTCTTCAAAACGTAACCTTCAGGGAGGCAGCCCCGGTGGGGCGGGAGGGCCCTGACGTGGGTGCCTGGCAGCGGGCAGGCACAGCCCCTCATCATTTTTCAGGGAGCCTCACTTCTCCTTCTCCCCTTAGACACGTCCAGTGCTGCGCACGGATGGGGAGGGAGCTCCGGGCGTCCCCGGGGCCGCGGCAGTACCCGGCTTCCCAGACTGGTGCCCGGCTGTGCTCATGCCGCCCAGGGTTCACTACGGTTCTTTCTGTGCAAAACAGCATTAAGCTGAGGGAGAAGACAGAAACCAGCGCCCACAGCTCTCTTCCTGCTCGGGTTCTGTTCGGGGGCCTGTCTCCGGTGGACCTGCCTCCGCCACGTACGTGGGGTGGGGTCCCCCAGCCTCGGCTGGGAGCGAAGGAGAAGCTGGGAAGGTCGGAGGGCGCTGGGAATCCGGGAGAGGCCGGAGCGCGGTGACCCCGACCGGGCTGAGCGGGGCTCGGGAGGCGTATGGCTGTGGTTCAGGGCGAGCCGGGAAAGGCGGCGCGCAGCACGGTTGGGTGCCCGCACTCACCCGGTGCAGGAAGTTCAGACGGTCCCGCAGCTGCGGCGTGGCCGCCATGATGCCGGTCACCTTCCGGCCCCGCCCCGCTTCCGCCAGGCCCCACACCCCTCCAATCACCACGTGGGTTTGGCCCCGCTGGCCAATCACTACTGTGGGACGGTTCTGAGTACGACTTCGGTAAACAATTTAAGCCTGAGCCAATCCGAAGTCCCAAATCAAAGACAGACAGCCTACCAGCCAGTTAAAGGGCTCCTTGAAGACCGCGGTTCCGGAGAGGTAGAGACATACACTGGAGCCCTGGCCAATTAGAAAGCGTAGGGAAGGTGATGGGCGGAAGTATCGACCTATCAAGGTGTTTGCTGCCGGAAGAGGACGGACCTAAGGTCGCGGCGCCCGTGGGTACCAGGAAGAGCCGCTCATGTCGGGGAACGGAGCGGTGTGGGGGCGCGTGCGAAGCCGCCTCCGTGCCTTCCCAGAGCACCTGGCGGCCTGTGGGACCGAGGTAAGGAGCTGTCGGGTGAGGCGGGTCCTGCGGGGCGGGGCGGGACGGGGCGGGAGGCAGGTGCCGACGGGGGCGGGGTGGGGGTTGCCCCCGTGGCCCGCGGACGCGGGGGCCGTCGCGACCCCCTCCCGCGCCGCCCCGACCCCAGGCCGCAGCCTACGGCAGGTGCGTGCAGGCGTCCACGGCCCCGGGCGGCCGCCTAAGGAAGGATCTCTGCGCGCAGGAGTTCGAGGCCTTACGGAGCTGTTTCGCCGCTGCGGTAGGTGGACGCCCCCGACCCTCACTTGCAGCTTCGCTTCGTGTGAGGAACCCGCTGGCTTCCCCTTCTCCCAGGTTCGGTGTTGGGCACCCGCTGGTGCTTTTGACGCTGCTCACCGACCCACCATCCCGCGCGACCCCGCCTCTGCGGAGTCTGTGTGCCTGTCAGGTGGGGGGACACCTGCTGGCCCTCCGCGAGGACGGCGACGGGGGTGACCGAGCGGGTGGGAGCGCTTCGTAGCGCCCTGCGGTGCCCCCGCTCGGGCCCCCCGCAGCCGGCGCTGCAGCGCGTGGTCTGACTTAGCGACATCGGTGTTTACCAGCCACGCGTGCGCGCTGCGTACGGCTTCAGCCGCTGGTGCGCCCAGCACCTATTAGGCTGCCAGGCACCCCGCCGGCCCCCGTTCTAGGGGGGGGTGAAAGGCGAACCCGTTGGTCCGTAGGCTGGGTTTCTCCTCCTCCTCTGGGTTCTGCAGTCGGGCTGCCTCCAGCCATGCAACAGCAGGTCCCTTCTGTTTCTGAACCCGGACGTTTCCTGGTCCCTGTCCGATCAAATGCTGCGCCGTTGAAAACCTGGGGAAATCGTCAGGCTCTGCAGGCAGGTAAAGAGTTAGCGTCACGTTTCCACGTCTGTGTCCTAAAGGACAAGGAGGCCTGGCGTCCGGGGGCCGCTGCGTCGGGGCTGCCTGCCCTGAGGCTGTCAGGACCAGGGTCCTGGGCCAGCGCCCCGCACTCCGTGGCCTGGCAGGATTTTTGGGTCTGGGCTGTGTCATGACCTTCCAGAATCATCCCAAGCACGTGGCTGAGAGGACGTGAACACCCGCGTGTCCAGCTCAGATGGTCCACACGCGCGTTTCTCCAAGGCTCAGGGACGCCATGGCACCGTTCTGCGGTTTTCAGATTGTCCCGGCGCGGCCCGCCGGCCTCGGGCCACCCCAGTCAGCCTTGCCACCGCCTCGGACCCCGGCGGCCGTCCGCCGAAGCTGCCCTTGTCCCTCGGACTTGCGCCTGCCTCTGGGTGGCCGCCCCACCTGCGGCTGTCCCGGGGACGGGGCAGGGCGCCCTCCGGGCTGCCTGGCCTCGAGGTCAAGGCCAGACGCTCCGGGCCGCGCCCAGGCTCTCCTGCACCCTTTGGCAGTCACTCGGGAGCCCCTGTCACAGGGGCCCAGTCCCCTCTGACTTAGCTTGTGCTCCTTTGCTCCCCTCACAGACAGATGCTTCGGCAGGTGTGCCCCGCCCTCCGAGCCCTGCACTCTCTAGGCCTCCCCTCGATGCAGAGCCTGGGATGGGAGTGAGGAACCCGTTCGTGCCCAGCCCGCCTGCAACGCGAGGCCGGGGGCTGCCGAGGCCAGCAGGGCTCCGTGCCAGCTGCGTCCTGTGAGCCCTATCCCTGGGCAAGCGTGTCAGCATCTCTGACCTGTCTCCTCTGGAGGCAGGGTCCCTGCACGGTGCCTGATGCTGGGGGCCCTTGGTTTTGAGGTCTGGGGGCCCCAGCTCCCACCAGCCAAGTCTGCAACCAAGCTTCCTGTAAGGTGTTGGCTAGAAGGTGGCCTTTGGCCTGAGTTTTCTTTGGAGATGCATCTAACTTGGAAACAACTCCTCAAGACAAAATACTTTATCTTTCAGGCCAAGAAGACCCTGGAGGGAGGCCCTTAGGAAGGACCGAGGGCACAAAGCCAAACACCTTGAAACACCTGGAGTTCTGAGGGCCGCAAGGCCCGGCCCCGCTGGGGCGGCCACGGGCAGGGGGCGGCAGCCCCCGGCATCATGCGCGCAGGGTTCCGGTTAGAGCTGGCTGCAGCGAGCCGGCAGCAGACCCCGCAGGCCCCATGAGGCCCCCGCTCTGCGCACGGTGTTTGCACAGGCCTGGCCTGGCTCGGAAGACCTGGACAGAGTGTGGGCGGCAGGACTTACTGCCTCAGGACTCCTGCTTTTCAAAGAATTCTCACTAATAAAATGTCATCTGAATCTCAGGAAGCCCCTGGGTGTAACTGCCGGTTCACAGGATGCACGGAAGGCAGAAAACCGATGGCCTGAGGGAGAGACCCCACCCAGGGACCCTGGTACCGGGGATTGATCCGGAATCAGAGGGGAAGGAGGGTTCTCTGTAGAAGGCAGCGAGGCCAGGAACCCAGCAGGTTCAAGACCAGCGAGGCTGCAGGTCCCTTCGCGCGTGGGGTCGCCCACTGCCCGTCCTCAGCCTCCGAGGGAATCGGTCAAGTCCCTCCTGACCTGTCTGGTCCCGGGGCGCCTGGCCGGGACTGACGCCGATGGCCCCCCAGTGCCGCCCAGCCCACAGCCCCTGAGCACCACCTGCCGGGCGCATGCCGCTGCTCCAGGAGCCCCTCCCAGGGGTGCGGAGGTCACCCAGTCTTCAGGCCACGCCCTCGTGGCTTCCCTGAGTCCCTGAACTGAGGCCTGCCCTTGTTTCCTTCTAAAACTCTACTACAGGATGAGCCCAATTTCCCCCACGTGGTGAAACCCCCAGGTCTCAGACGCGAGTGTCCGTCCTGAGCTGTGGGTCTCTGAGGGGGTGGCTTTGGAGGGACAGCCAGCGCGATCCAAGGGCTGGGGGCTGCTGGGCCGTCACAGTTCACAGCAACCCCTGGAATTCTGGACCGGAAACGTGACAGGCGTCCCCGCCCCCCCAGGTGGCCGGAGGGCGGGGTGGGTGGGGGTGGGTGCGCCTGGCCTGAAGCTTCGGCTGCACTCCCCGCCCAGCCTGAGGGCCCGCTACCTCGCGGGCTCCCCTCCGGGCTCCTCCCAGGACTGCCCCACCGCGGGCTCCCTCCTGCCATGCTTTCAAACTCCAGGGTGGCAGGCAGAGCCACCACTCAAGTCTCACCCCCAGGGCCACCATGGGCTGCTGCCCCGCTGACTGTCCAGGCGCGCCCCCAGCGCCAGCCTCAGCTCCTGGGCCTCCCAAGATGTCCGGAGGCGCGTCCCACCCCCCACGAGCAGCGCCCAGACCCACACATCCCACCCCATCTCTTGGGTTCGGGAGGAGTCAGCTCGGCCTCCAGAAAATTCCAGTCCTTTTATTATTCATTCCTACTTGGCAGGCTGCCCAGTGCACAGAAATTACAGTAAAAAGTAAAACCGATTTGCGAGGCCCCGAGGTCAAGGCAGCGTGGCCCTTCTGGGCCCCAGGACGCTGCCTCGGCGGGGCCCGGAGTCGCGCGACCCTGTCCTCCAGGGAGCTGGGAGCACACGGGAGACAGTGGTGAAGGCCCTGGGCTCGTGGGACAGCAGCCCGCGGCCCTGGGGCTGCTGTCGGCTTTTCTGCTCCTTGAACACTGGGCACCGTGCACACCCCGACAAACACCTGGCAGGCAGGCAGGGACAGCCGAGCATGCTGCCCGAGAGTCGCCGCTGCGGGCGCGGGGCCTCTCCTCCTCGGGCCTGGTCAGTGTGTGCTGGCCGTGTGCCCAGCTCGGCACCAGTGAGCTCTGGCAGCAGCTGACTGCCCCGGCGCCTCGGGCTGCACGGCTGGTCACTGGCCTGCCGCGCACGCCGTCTTCCTTCAGCTGGGTTTCCTTGGCACCCACCTCGCTAACCAGACTCAAGTGCTGGAGACTTTTTAAAGATCTCACAGCTACTTGGAGAACCAAGAAGGGTGCAGCACAGCGCTGCGCGGGGGTCGCGGGCGCGCTCTGGTGCCCAAGGACGGAGTTCCCGCCCCGCTCCAGACCCCAGACAGGAAGCAGGGTTCACAGTGAAGGCAGGATGTTTATTCAGACTTTGTGTAACACTCAGCACACGAGGCAAGCATGACCCGTGGTGCCCGGAGCGCTGGGGCCTGGCCGCTGAGCGCTAGGACGCACTGCACTGGCAACACCAGCCCTGCCCGCGGACTCCGTGGCACCGCGGTGACTGGGGGGCGGGCAAGAGAGGTCCACCGTGGGGCTGCAGTGAGCTCGGTCACCTGTACAAGTCAGGAGCTGCATCTGGGATAGCAGAGACCCCTCTGGGAAATGACGCACGGCAAGACAGCTCACAGACTGCCCCTCCGGAGCGTGAGCTCCGAGACTCTGCCCCCGCTGCGCTCCGGGGCCACCGGCGGCCTGGCCACGCCTCAGTGAGACCAACTGGCCAGGAGGACAGCTGCCACGTGGGAGCGCTCAGGCCTCCTCCAGGGCCCCAGGCCACTGTTTGATCTGGCGGCTGTGGACCACCCGCAAAGCGCCCCCGGCAGCCTGGCGAAGCTGGGTGTCCAGGGCACTGCGGAGGTCGTTGACCTGCACGTCAGACAGGGGGTCGAAGCTGATGATGACCCCCTCTCTGGAGGCTGGCCCTCCACCTTCACGCGGAGCCACATCCCGCCGTCTCCTCCTGAGGTCAGCGCCGCCCTGGACTTTCAGGTCGCGGTTGGGCTTGGCGTTATCCAGCTTCTGAGCTCCGGGCACGGCCTGTTTGGGCCCGAGCTCAGGGTCTGGCCTCTGCTCAGGCTCTTGGATGGCACCGCCCTCCCTGGCAGCAGGCACGCGGTCCCCGCCCAGAGCCTCCCTTCTGGCCTCTGGGCGGCCTCCCTGAGCCCTGGCAGAGACAGCCGGGTGTGCCGACTGATGCGGCTCGGCCTGGGCCCCCAGGGCCGCTCCCCCCGACCTGCTGGGCAGGCCTCCTGGTCTCCAGTCCCGGCCTGCTTGCTCAGGCCTCATGTGAGGGCCCCCAGCCTCTGCCTCCGCCTCCAGGGCGCCTGCCTCCTGCTGGGCTTCGGCAACCGCGGCTGCGGCCTCCTTTCCTGATTTGTCCCTCTCCTGGGAACCTGCGCCACCGACGTCCTGACTCTGCCCAGGGTGGTCCCCAGTGTCACGCTTCTCTGGGCTCCCAGGCACCCCAGCGAGGTCTGGTCCTGGGAGCCGCTCCTGTGCCCCAGCCCCATTGGGCTCGGCGCCCGGGCCCCGCCAGCCTTCCCTCGGCCCAGCCTGGGCCCCCGGGGGCTCCGCGGCCATCGCACCAGGAGGGCCGGCTGCGGCCCCCCTGACGCCCTCCAGAGGGCGCTGGCTGTGTCCCTGGGGCGGAGCCGGGGGCTGCTCCGGAGCCCTGTGCTCGTGCTCGGGCTCCACAGGCTGCAGGACAGGGCGCGCCACCGTCCCTGCCCCTGCGTCGTGGGACTCCTGCTCCTCCTTCCTCGGTGCGGCCACCCCAGGCGCGGGCTGCGCGTCCGCTGCAAGTGAAGACTCTGGTTTAGCACAGAACCGAGCAGAAGCCACTGACACCGGGACTAAAAGGAACCAACTTGTCGGCAACTAAGGCGATTACGAAACAGGCAGCCCCACACAAAGTCGGGGGCAGGGCTGAGGCCCCGCCCCACCGTGCACTTGCCCTCTTCGCCGTCCTGTCGCTGCTGGTGGATCTCCTTGTGCTGCTCCTCGATCACCGCCAGCAGCTTCTCCTGCTGGTCCAGGAGGCGCTTTTGCTGCACCTGCTGCTCCTTGATCACCTGCAGCAGGACGGCGTGGTCCAACATCTCCGCCCGGCCAGCTTCTGGGGGTCAGGAAACACCGTCAGAGCCCGTGTTGGGCTGCGGGCCAGGACACCAGAGCCTCCACGAGGACCTTCCCTGGGACACCCTGCAGGCTCGTCTTGTCCCCTGTTGGTCAGCGAGGTGTTAAGGGAAGGGGGCCTCCCAGGGCCGCTCCCAGGGGCACAGCAAGGTCGGCAGCAGTGGCAACGACTTGTCTAACTGCCTGGCACTCGCACTGGCCCGTGGCTTGGACACCCCTGGCAGTCCCAGGTACCCTAGCTTGCTCCCTGGGTACCTGCTGGAGCTGTGCCCACGTGCCCTGGGCCGGCTGATTTAAGGGAGCCCCCATCCTGAAGAAAAGTACTAGCGCCTACAGAACATTTTCTCCAAGGAAAACAGCGCCATCCTGCTTTCCAGCAGAGGCAGTAGCCAGGCCGTCCACAGGGCAAGGCCACTGCCGATGTGCACAGTGTCCCCACGCTGCTCCCGGTCCCGCCCGCAGGCCAGGGCTGCAGGCCCCGCTCAGAAGGAGGGTGGCGGGCTGAGCGGTGGCTGGGGCAGCAGTGTCGCCAGGCCCTGCTGCCCCACCCAGAGCCCCCACGGAACGTGGCCTGGGGGAGAACGCCTGCACCCGCAGCGACCAGCGCAGTGGACAGGGAAGGGAGCCCTGCCCCCCTCCCACAGCCCGGCATTGGCCACCTGCTCACGCGAGAAGCCCCGTTTGGGGAGTGCTGGTGACGCGCGGGTGCTTAGGCGGCAGGTGCTCGGCAGCCGCCGCAGCTGGGCGAGCTGGCCTGCAGGCGCACGCGCATATCGGGAGGAGGGCGTCCGCAGCCGTGAGAGCCACCACCCAGCGATGGCCCCGCCGGCTGGGCACACAGGTGTGCCGGCCCGTCCTCCCAACAGCCACCTCTGACCTGTGACCTGTGACCCGCCGGAAGAGGGTGGGCCGGCCTCCTCCCAGGGGCCACAGGGCACGCGCAGGCAGCGGGCCCGCGAGGGGCACGCTGAGCCTTGCCACGGGGTGCACGGGTCCCCAGGACAATCGCCGCAGCAAAGCCGTGGCTGCAGGCCGGGCGAGGGCGCACACACCTCCCTCCGACGGGCTTCCGGCCGGCCTCAGCCCTCCTGCCCCCGGCACCCGTGGCTCGGGACCGTGCACTGATCAACGGCGCAAGGACAGGCCCACGTGCGGCCAACACCCGTCTCCAGGCAGGTCGGGCCCCCGCCTCGCTGGCTCCTCGAGAGCCAGCTCTGCGCTGACACCAGGGCACACGCGAAACAGTGGGGATGACAAGCCCGTGCGGCCCCCGGGACCATAGGGCCGGCCTTGCAGAGGGGACAAGGGCTGCCCGACGTCAGCGCGCACACAGGAGGTGTTAGTGTCAGGCCATGCACACGGCAGAAGTTACACGCGGCCCCGCCCCATCTCTTGGGGGGGCCTTAAGCGACCAATGCTCACAGACTGTCCTCTGGTGACTGCGGAGCCACTGCAGGGCTAAGGAGGACCAGGGCATTCTTAAGAGAAGGGAGCGAGCTGGGGCATCGGAGGACCCCAACCGACGGGCAGGGCCCCGCGTGTGCCAGCCTCTGGGCTCTACGCCAGGCCCTACAGGACCACGTGCCCACGCCAGCCCTGTCCCTCGCATCTCTGGCCCTCCACACACGCACCTGGTACTGTGACACATGCCTCTCGGTTCATACCTGCTACTATCTTTTGGATCTCAGCTGCTCATCCCGTTGAGAAGCGCACGGGAGAAAAGCAGAATAGGAAACCGTGAAAGTTCTCTTCAGAGAGAAAAAAATCAAAGGATCAAACAGGTTTAGGCAACAGATTCTGAGGACTGGAACCAACACACACGGGGAGACTAGAGCTACAGACAAAGCAATGCAGGTGACGTTTCTAAGGCAGCTCCTGAGTCAGGACACCTGCGCCCCCCCCCCACCAGGCTGGTGGCCCCAGGGCCCCCCTAAGAGGCAGCTCAGGATAGTGAAGCACGTGCCAGGACCCCACCTGAGGTGGCTCCACCTCGATCCCCACATGCCGGGAACACGGGGGCTGCCCCTTGCACATGGCCCCCGAATGTGGCGAGTACGGGGGCTCAGCCCCTGGGAAGGGGCACAGGAGTCAGCGGGTCACCAGAGAAATCAGGACCGGCCACCAGGCCGGCTGCTACCAGCTCTAACCGCGGAGGCGGCGCCCGAGAGGCAAGGCTGCCAGGAGGGTCAGGAGCCAACAGCTGGAACTGCCCCGAGCTGGGCAGAAAGTCTGCGGGGTTCCCAGCGAGTCTCGCTCACTGGAGGGAAAAGGCAGGTGGAGCTCTCGTTTCAGACAGGAGACAGGTCTCCTCTGCGGGTGACATAGACGTCCTGTTGTGCCGCCCCAGCTTAGGGGTGTGGCACAGACAGGGAGGCCCACCCTCAGAGCAGCTGGGCCTTGGGGCGTCGACGCCCCCACCTGCTGGCCACGAGGCCAGGCGCCCAGGAGCAGCCACGCGTCTGCTTTGAGACTGAGTGACGGGGTTCAGGGCAGAAAGGGAGAGGCGCGAGCTGCGGGAGCCTTCCCGGCAGGAGGCGGCGGGGAGGGCGAGACTGGGCGGCCTAGAAAGGGCCCCTGAGACCACAGGCGCCTGCGCTCCTTCCCGGGCGGCCGGCGGCCCTCAGTCTGGGAGGAAGGGGCAGCTGCCCCTCCGAGTGCGCGGTGAGAAAGCAGAGCCCTTACCCTCCAACTTGCTGCCGGCGTGGTCTCCGGCCTGTCCCTCCGCAAGGTCGCCGGCCTGTCCCTCCGAGTTCCTCTGACCTCGGGGCTCTGCCGGCGGCCCGGCCCCTGGGGCTGGCTTCTCACCTGCACGACCAGCAAAGACACAGGGTCACAGGAAACGCAGACGGGAGGGCGGACACAGGAGGGGCAGGGGAGGGACAGAGGTGGCAAATGCTCCCTAAAATTGCCCTGCACTGGGCCCCTCCCCCCATCAGCACGGTTTACGTTCAACCTGATGATTACCAAGGAAGTAATAAAAAATATTTAACAATCTCCCAGGCCGTGGCAGCGAGCCAGCGCTAACTACCCTGGCCAACCAACACATGCGCCGTGCCGGCCGGCGCCAAGCCGGCTCCGAGCCACGCAGTGCCCGTCAGGTGCTCAGCGCCGCCCCCGCGTGCGCCCCGTCACACGGGAGCAGTGTGGCAGGGAGTGCCGCGGCGGTCAAGCCACCAGGCCGGCTCCCTGCGGCTATGGAAGGGGCAGCTGCTCCCGCGGACCAGCCTTGCAAGAGGAGAGACCCGGGCTGGCCAGTCCCACGCCCGCACGGGAGGGCCTCTCCGGACGGGCCCGGGCTGACACCCACCAGGCTCACTGTCCGCCGGCTTGCCTGCAGCCCCTGCAGCGTGGTCTGGCCTCGGGACACTGTCACCTCCGTCCTCGGCGCCTGCCCCAGCGGCATCTCGCCCCTGAGGGAGCGCTGCCTGGGGCCCAGGAGGCAGACCCCTGTGGCCCGGCTCCAAGCTCTCTTTCACGGGCCCCGCGGCCGGCTGACCGTTCCCTTCCTCCGCCTTGTGCGGGTCTGCAGGCAGGGCCCCCGCTGCCTCCAAGGCCTGCGCCTGCCCCTGTCCGTGGCTCTCTCTTTCTGAGTCCAGCGGAGGCAGCGCCGCCTGAGCCTTGGCCCCAGGAGCCTTGTCACCCACGTGTGAATGTTCACGTTCCTCCGGTCCCTCTCGGTCTTGACCTTCGTCCACCATCACCTTGTCGTGAGGGACAGGGGGCTCATGGCGGTGGGCCTCTCCCATAGGCACCGCCACACCTAGAAAGACATGGAGAGTGTGCTGGGGGTAGGGGGAGACGACCAGCCTCTGTCCCAGAGACAGTGACCTGCGTCCCAGGGCCTGACGGGGCGGCCCGGGCCAGCCGCAGCCTTCTCTCGCCGATCTGCCTGCTGTCTAGCGAGGACTGGCGTAGCTTCTGGAAAGTTACAAGACCGGGCTGCTGCACGGCTGCTGCTTTGGCAGGGGCAGGACAACCCTCCAAGACCGAGGAAGGAGGCAAAGGAGCCGACGTGGGCTCAGCCAAGACGGGGGAAGCCCGCAGCCCTGGGCGCCCCCCACCCCCCGGCGGCCGCCAGCACCCTGCACGCCCCCAGGCCTCCCGCCGGGCCGCACCACCTTGCCCGGGCCGATCCAGCTGCACCTCCTCCTGCTTCTCCCGGGTGTCCTCCCTTGGGGGCACGTCCACAGGGCCCTTAATCTGGGCCTGCTCCATCTCGTCCTTCTCCTGCGGCAGCTTCGGCTTATTGCGGCCGTCCGCGGCCGCGTCCACGACTGGATCCTGGCCTGGGGGCGCAGACCGGCCGGCTGAGTGGCGTTTCTACGTGGCCGCCCCTCCGGTCAGCCGGCCTCGGGTGGCTTCCCCAGGCTGAGATCGCTCCCCCGCGTCGCGTGGCAGGGCCTAAGCAGGTGGTTTTTCCTGTCCCATCGTTAACAGCAAAGTAGCGTAGAGAACTGTCCTTTTTCATGTGTATTCATAACAAAAATTTGTCAAGATGAAATTTACCCCCGAGTGCAGAAAAGCAGCGCTTGGTGCAACACCGGCTGGCACCACCAGGTGGCAGCACAAGGCCGCTGTGCCTGGCCTGCGGCTGCCGCGTGGGGGGTGGGGGCCGCAGCCCCGTGCGCCGCTTGCCGCTGAGGGTGAAAGTCAGCCTGCGGAGGAGGGCAGCCCAGCCCCGAGCCGGCAGGCGGCCCGCGCCCCCTGCCCACGGCCAGCCCCCCCCACGGGTCTGCGCGGGTCCTCGGCAGGGGCACAAGGGCGGCTCGCAGCACTGGGCCAAGGCGAGCCTCTTCGGAAACCGTTTCCATTGAAAGCACGCGCGCGCGCTTCCTTCCTGTCAGGCCGTGGGGGGGCGGGGGCCGCAGCCGGGGCGTGTGCGGGGCACTGCTGGCACCCTGTTCAGTCCCCGCCACCGCTCCCCCACAGGAGAGGACGTCGGGGGCCAGGGCGCCGGGTGGGGAGGGCCAGGGAGCCCCTGCCTCGTGCGGGCGGGGCGGGCCCTGCTGGCTGCACCCCAGACTTTAACTGGGCCATGGCCGTCGCCACGCGGGCCAGCGGGTTCCGGTGGCCTTGCAGGGGTCCCCTTGCCGACGCCCCGTGCACCAGCAAGCAGTGCCATAAGCCAGAGGCCCCTGAAGACAGGAAAGGGGGCGGGAGGGGAGGCGACAGCGACCGGCAGCACAGGGAGGACGTCCCCCCGGGGCATCGGCATCGCTTCTCAGCAGGGGCAACACCAGCGCGCCCCCCCGCGTGAGGCCCGGCAAGCCGGGCAGCGGCCGCAGCAGGCGTGGGGTTGCCCAGGAACCCGCGACTCAGCCACCGCCCCGGCAACCTTCTCAGGTCTGGGGGCTCCACGCTTCAAAGCCGTCCCCGCGCGAGAGCTACAGTGTGTTCTACGGCAGAACCGCGCTCTTCACTGGGGACCGCTGGCCTGCAACGCCTCCTGGGCGCAGTAAAACTGACGTAAAACTTCAAACAAGTAACTGAAAGCAGTCCGCGCTCCGCCTGCTTGGCTTCCAAGGGCGCTGTGACCGCGGCTGGTGAAAGGCAGGAAATGGCCCCGTGCGGTCGGCAGTGCTACCTCCACGAACAGGGTAACGGTGTGGGTGGGGCCGCGGGGCAGCGGGGCTGGAGCCCCACTCGCTCCCCCAAGGCTGGCAGCAGGTGGGGCTCGGGAGCGGCCAGCAGAGGGCGCCCTGCACTGGCGCAAACCCCCGGCTCCCAAAGGTCAGCGCCAGCCACCTCACCGGTCCTCCAGATTGTCACTTCCAATGACCAAAGCAAGACCCGCCACCAATCACTGGCCGAGGCAACCAGCCCCCAGGCCGTGATGGATTCAACCGGCCTGGGGCAGTCCGGGCAATACGTGGCCTCCCTGCACCCTCAGAACCGTGGTGACACAGGACACAACACACTGAGGTGCCTGTGGCCAGGAGCTCCCCAGCGACAGCAGGCCAATGGCCAGTCACCCGCCAGACTCCCCCGGGGCCCAGAGCGGGGTCAGCGGCTGCCGGGTTCTGGCCCAGGGAGATGGGCTGGGGGCTGCCGACTCCTGCCATCCCGGCTCCACCCCTGGGTCCCCCTGCGTCTATACAACAGCGTCCGAGGAACAGCGTCCAGGGCAGCCCGCCCACCGTGGCGAGGACCCCCGCACCCGAGGCTGGTCTCTGCAGCAGACGGCGTGGCAAGGCTCCCTGTCGGCCCTGCTGCAGAGCCGTCCCAGGGCGAGGGGCGCACACTGCTGCCACCGGCACCAGCCAGCCTCGCTGAGTGTGCTGCGATCAGTAAGGGCGGGCGCTGCGCTGTCATCCCAGGTGCCAAGCACCAAAAGAGTCACTGAAAATGACACCTGAGTCCTGTCACCTGGAGGAGGGCTCCGAGTGCAGGAGACACAGGATCCCCAGGTCATGCCCTCAGAACGCAAGCAGGTCCCTTCATGGCTCACGAGCCCAGCCCTGCCGGGCGGCGGCCCCCTCCTCCCAGTCGGCCCCTCCTCAGGCCGCCGGCCGCAGCGCACACGACGGCGCCCCGCAGGGCTCGCTCTCAGCCCTGCCATCTTCACCTGTGGCGGGGCGACCCCAGCCGCTGCAGCCGCTCATTTTCCGGATGCGCGGATGCCCAGAAGTGGCCCCTGGGACACCGCTGTCCCTCTGGGCGGCCTCCTCCTCGCAGTCCTGCCACCGGGCATGGCTGCCCACGGGCGGCAGGCGGGGCGGGCGGTCTGTTCACCGAGAGACCAGGCGGCCTGGCTGCTGGAGACCAGGACAAGGGAGGCGGTGTCCCTCCCTGCCCCCAGGGGCCCCTCTGAATCTAGCGGCTCCGCGCCTCTGGGCTCCCCACCGCACCCTGACGCGAGGGCAGACACTGGACAGAACCACAGGGACGGAAGGCGCATGGCACACATAACCGGGCACGGGGAAGCTGCAGCAGCAGCAGCACCGTGCGGCTCCCAGGCCCGAGGACAGACGCGGACGTGGGGGCCGTGGCCCTCACACATCTGCCGGCATCCGTCACAGTGGTGGGGACGCGTCCCAGCCTGCGTGCATGGCCAGCCGGTGAGGGCAGCAGCACCCCCCCGAGGCCTGTGTTACTGTCTGCCACCTACATCCGCGCCGGGAACACGCTGCCACCAAGAGGCCTTCCTCCAGTCCAGCTGGGCACCCAGGGGTCCCTACCGGCCTTTCTTCCCATGGAGCAAGGGCACGGCCGCACCCGACACCCGCACGCACACACTGCGGACAAGGAATGAGTCGTACAAGGGGCACAGGCCCGGGCTGCTCCCCGGCACCACGGGACGGGGCCAGGCGCTGGGGGACAGGGCTAAGGCGACGCCGCGGTCACAGGGGGAGCTGCCACGTCACAAGCCTGTGCCCGCCCGCCGACCCCCTCGGGTGCTCCGGCCAGGAGACAACCGGGCGACTCTGCCCCCTGTGCCTCCCGCCTCCGCAAGGCTCAGCACCTCCCCGCCCCGCGCTGCCCCACAGAGTGGGGCCCCAGGGAGAGCTGTCCCCGAGACATCAGAGACCAGTGACCCTACTCAGGCACTGGCGCAGACCCCGCAGGCCCCGCTTCAGCGAAGCAGCCCGCCGACTGCAGGGCGGCCGGGGTGGGAAAAACAGAGGGCGTGCTGCAAACACGCGGCCTGCGGTTCCGGGGACCATGTGTTCTGTTAGGGCCTCGTGAAGCATACGGGAATGAGACGCGGCCGCGGCGGCTGCCTCTGGAGTGGGACGCAGCCGCGCGGCGCAGGCCGCCCACGCCAACTCACGCGCGGGACCCGCCACGGCCCGCTTAGGGGGAAACACTGGCGCCCGAGTCCAGCTCTGCGCGGGGGCCCCCGACAGACCAACATGCCCAGGCACGGGCCCGGCCGTGGCGCCAGCGGATGGGCCGGCGACTCTCCTCCCTCTGCACGGGGATCTTTTCCCCGTGTGAACTGCTAAATCCGGGCACCAGGGTGTCCCCCGGGAGCCCCGCCATTCCCGGGGGCTGTCTCTGCTGGAAACCCCCCGAGCGAGGATCTCCTCGCCAGTCCTGCCGACCCAGGAAGGCAGAGGGGAGCACGCTCACCGTGAGCGCACGGGGGCAAGGCTGGTGTGGCCCCGGGCCAGCACCCAAGCACATCCGCGGCCCTGGCCGGCCCTTGCACGCGGCCTTCTCTTTGGTCGGTCACGGTGGGTAGGGAGGCCCGAGCCGAGCTCAGACAGCACCCTTCCTGCACCCACAGGTGTGGGCCTAGCTGGGGCAATGGGGCCCCAGCCCTGGGGCCCGCAAGGCAGCCCCAGCTGAGGCGGGTGTGTGGGTCATCACCCCGCCGACAGGCAGGCTGACCAGGAACAGGCGCAAGCAGCACACAGAGCCCGGGGGCGTCACTGAGTCTGTCCAAGCGAAGCCTGGCTGAAATCTATGTCCTCAAACTGACAAATGTGAGCGACACCTACAAACCGATTCCCTGTTGGCGCACTCAACGCGGGCATGGAGGTCTCAGCCCCGCCGTCCCCACCCGCCATCTGTCCCCCACCCCGTCCATCGCCCAAACAGGACAGAAGCAGCTGGGCGGGTGAGACACCCTGAAACGAGCCGCCTGCATTCTCATGACCCCGAGGGGCCGGGGCCGGGGCCTACCTGAGGGCCGCGTACCTGGCAGCTGGGCCGCCTCCGCCTTTCTTGCACCCTCGGCCTCTGCAAGCCGACCGCCGGGGGCTTCCTTTGCCAAATCCAAGTCCACGGGGGTCTCCTCGCTTGTGGACAGGGTGGTGAGCGTGCTGACCACCAGGATGCCCAGGCCAACGCAGAGCACCACCTGGATGAGATGAGGAACCAGAGAGCAGGACGGTCATGTGGCCCTCGCGCCCCACCCCCCGGAGAGGCGGAGGCCGCCGTGGAAGCCCCCTCTGCGAGCCCAGCAGGAGTGGCTGGGGCAGCGCGTGGAGGTCCGCCTGCCGGTCAGTCCCGCTGGCCACCAAGACACGACGGTCCCTCACTGATCGACGTGGCCGCGTCGTCGACCACGCCCGCCAGGGCCGCACTGGCCATAGGGGCGGGGAGCGGGGAGAGGGGAGCCCAAAGACAGAAGGGGCCTTTGTGTGACAGAGCGCCTCTGGCCGAGGCCCAGGTCTACGGGTGCAAAACTTCTCAGAAGGCTCACGCACCTCAAAACGGTAAAGCAACCTGTTGGGAAGTAAGAGGCAGCAGCACGCACGGCAGCCACGGCAGCCAGGCCCTGCCAGGGGCTAAGTCAGGGGAGAACCTTCACAGCCTTCTCCACACACGGTCAAAAGGAGCTACCACGGCCCGGCGTGCTTTCTAGATTCTAAGGACCCCTGTGAGGCAGGCCTGGGAGGTGCCGCGCTCCCTCGGCCGGTGCTCCTGGGCATGTGCACAGGCAGGCAGGCGGGGAGCGCGTGCGCACGGCTGTGCACCGAGCCAAAAGCTGGTGTCAGGCTCGACAGGCAGACACTAGACTCTGTCCCAGCCAAGGCAGGAGAAAGAGGCCTGCCCCCCCCCGCCACACCATGGCTGGGACCCAACACTCCAATAAGTGAGAAAGCCTAGCACCCTGGAAGGATGAAACAAGGTCAAGAGATTGATGAACATTTGAAAGGCACAGTCTCCCAACACAAAGAGCAACCGTCAGAAAAACCAGGGAAGAGGAGGCCCCAGAACCGCAGCCGCAGGGCCCGGGCGAGCGTGGCCTGTCGCCGCACAGGAGCCCGAGGACGAGCCGCAGGGCGGCGAGCACGTACGAACTCCGCTCCTTCTCGTCTCGCCTCCAGCGTCAAGGAATTCCAACCAGGCCACAACGCAAAAAGCCGGAGTGATTTTTTTAAGAGTCTGATCAGCTGATTTTAATGTTCATATGGAAAAGAAATAAGGAAGAACACCCAGAAATGTTATTAAAGAAAGCAAAGAGGAAGACCGCAGCGTCTCCGAGTGCGCCCTGCGCAGGACGCAGGGTCACGGGTGTGGTGGTCGCGCCAGTGCGGAGGCCGGGGGCCGGCCAGGCGGCCAGCGCGGAGGAGAGGGGCCCCAGCGAGGCCCCGCACACCCACGGCCGCCACGCAAGGGGCGGCGGCGTCTGCCTCCAGGCATGGACCGCAGCCTGACAGCCAGGGAGCCGCCTTGGAAAACACCTACCGGGACTGCCTCCCTTCTCACACCAAGACAGCAGACGGACGGGTCAGAGAGCTAAATGGAAATGTGAAAGACAAGAAACAGGACCAGAGGATTTTTTCACATAACACTGCAGCGGGAGGGTCTAACTCTGCCTTTTCTTCCCCAGAAAGAGTCGGACGGACTACGACGCTGAGACTGAACAAGATGGAGAGAAGATCGGCAGCTGGCAGGCGGAGCGCCGGTTTCCTCCTGCTGTGAGCCGTTCCTCAAAGTCACTGCAGCGCGTGGCCTCCGGCTGGGGCGGGACGGCTGGTAGTGGGCAGCTCCCTCGCCCACGTGCCGTGCGGGCTGAACCACACGGCCCCGGGACCCCCGCCAGAGGCGCTGCCGCGCCAAGCCTGAGGGGCAGGCCCGGGAAGCGCTGGCGCCAAGCGCAGAGCGCACTGTGGCCTGGACCCGCACGTGCTCCGGACGGCACCAGGAAGGGGAGGCTCCGCTCCCAGGGGAGGAAGGGCATCCATGTTCTGCGGGTCACGTTCCCCAGGCCAATGCCCTGCCCGCTGTCACGGCCCAACAGAGACGCTCGGCAGAGAACTGAGCGACCTCAGGCAACGGCGTTCTGTGGAGACCCAGGGAGGCTACACCCAAGGAGAGAGGGCAAAGCAGAGGCAGATCCGTGTCGTCCGGCTGCAGGCCTGTCTGCTGTGCGGCAAGGACGCCACCAGAACCTCAGGGGCCTGGCCGGCGGGGCTCGCTGGGCGGGGCGTTGCTCTGCAAGGCAAGGGGTCGCTGGTGCGATTCCCCGTCCGGGCACAGGCCTGGGCTGCGGGTCAGGTCCCTGGTCGGGGCACGTAAGAGAGGCAACCGATAGATGTTTGTCTCCCTCCCCCCCTTCCCTTCTCTCTATAAATAAATAAATAAACAAACAAAACAAACCTATTTACAAAAAAGAAAGGACCTCAACAATGCTCACATGCAATGTCCACAAACTACCAGGCACACCAGGAGGCAGGGCCGAAAAACAGAAAACCAAGAAACCTCAGGGGTCCGTGTAAGTAAATACCGACTATCTGAAACCATAACGTCTTGAGGAGTCTGAAATACATGTAAAATTGAAATACCTAAAACAACACGCCAAAAGCCAGAGGCAGGCGTAGCACCCTCGCCTTGCCTGCACCAGCTACCCCGACTCGGACGAGCCACGGTATCCTGCCGCGCCGCCCGGACACGGCAGTGTGAGCAGAGGAGAGGCGCGTGCAGCCCCAGCTGACGGGGGACAGAGAACAGATACGGGGCCGGCTCAATTCATCCAAAGACAGCAAAAGAAAAACACCGAAAAAGAGCAGATGGAACAAATAAAAAACAAAGAGCAAGACGGAAGCTTTAATCCCCCCAAAATCAGTAATTACATCAACTGTAAACAGTCTTAAACACGCCTATTAACAGACTGGAAACCAACAAAACAGGATGAGAGCCAACCACACGCTGTTGTGAGACACACCCTGAATGGAGAGGCACCGGGAGATCAAAAGAAGGACGACGAGGAAGCCACACCGTGCAAATACAACCCCAACAAAGCTGGGTCAGCTACTGCATACCTGGCTCAGGAGAGAGGTGTCTTCAAAGACAAAAAGGGGCAATTCACAGGAACGAGAGACAGAGGCAGTTTAACGAGACACAAGCATCTTACACCTGTATGTTTCTAATAGCTCAGCTTCCAAATAGAAAGTAAGAACTGTATGAGAAGTAAACAAACCGACCGTTACAACGGGAATTACCATTCCATTCCCATGATGATAAAGAAAAAGATGTAAAAGTCAGGGAGAATATGTAAATCTGAACGTGACCTAAACATGCTGCTTCCAGCAAGTGCAGCCCACAAGGCCAAGTGAGGACCCTCCAGGGGACGACCTGCCAGGCCACCAGGTGAGTCTCAACCAAAGACAAACGGCTGAAATTCCCGATGGGGCGACAAGGAACCCCCAGGCCAGCGGAAGGAGCGCCAGGCACAGGGCGAGAGGCCGCCGTGGCCTGGAAGCGGCTGCTGAGCACGCGCCCACCGAATGCACGGGCCGGCAGCGAGCCGGCTGTCTCGGCGGAAGCTGACCGGCCGACCCCAACGCTGGGCCAGAAATGCGAGGGCCACCGCAGGAAAGGCGTCCTGGACACGAGTGAGGCTGGGGGCCTCCACCGCCCGGCCCCACGGCTCCTCGGACGGCACCGGCCCCCGACACGGGAGCGCTGGTCCGCGGGGAGGCCGCAGCCGACGGGCGCCCTGGGGAACCAGGTGTGGGCCAGCCAGAGCCCCGCCCTGCCTCCTACCGGTCAAGTCTGCGGGGCGGTGACCAGGGAAATGAAACGCGTCTGCGATGTCAGACAGGGCACTACCCTCAGGGCCCGGGGACAAGCACAGGCTCCTGCAGTCGCGCAGGAAAAGCACCCGCGGGAGAAAAGGCCCGAGGAGCTGAACGACACTAAGTGAACGTCTGCTGATCAAAACACGCCACTCAGGAAGTGCGAAGGCAGGCAGGCGTGAGAAAACACATTTGCAATACATGTTCCTGAAAGAAGAGTTACAGTGTATTTAGAGTCTTAAAACTTCTCCAAGTCAGTAAGAAAAGACAGCCAACCCAACAGGTTAAAATGGCCCAGAAGGCCCCACAGGGCGGACACGCGCACAGACGGGCCCCGGCCTCCTCCGCCACGGGGGGACCGCTCACCGCACACTCATCGGGGGGCCGGGGGCCGGAGGAGGGCATGAAGCGCACCACACGCGCACCTGGGGAAACGGGGGCAGTCCCCCGGGACCCTGGCCCGGGCAGGTGTCACAGGACAGTGAGCTCGGGCAACGGCCCTGGCCCAGCCGTGCAGGGACACAGGCGAACACAGGCGTGACCTAAGGAAGCCAGACACGCAAATGCATGTGCTAAGGCCCCATTTACGCTGCGGACAGGTGAGCAGGGACCTCCGGGGAGGAAAGCCCGCGAGGAGTCCCCGGAGAGTCCAGGTGCTGGGCACTGCATCCGCCCTGGACGGCGGTCCCGTGGCGGAGCGGCACACAGGAGTCACATTTCACTCCACGTACAACACCCTCCTCAAGCGCTACCACACACACCCGTGAGCAAAAGCTCAGCCCCGGTGCGGGCGGTGGCGGCAGGGCAGCTCGCAGGAAAGAAACGCCAGCACCCCAGCGCCGCAGGCGCCCCCCCGCGGCTGCCCAGCGGAAGGGAAGGGGCCCGGGCCGCGGAGCACGGCGCCTGAGCCCCAGCTGGTGTCGGGCAGGTGCCACGCAGTTCCGCCCGCCCAGGCCCAGCGTCCCCCTTTCTAAAAGCTCCCTCCAGACACGCCCTCACACACAGCAAGAGGCTCTCCCAGCTCGCGGTAACAGCAACGGCGGAGGACAGGAGGGGCGGCTCCCCCAGCATCCCTAGCAAGAAGTGGGGGGGCAGCCTCAGCGGGAAGAGGTGGGGGTGGGACGTGACCCGGACACATCTGGGGAGCACGTGTTCTGTGCTTGGTGCCGATGAGGAAGCCGCGCCACGTCCACGCCCCACCGGGCGCCCCATGCACGCCTGCCATGCTCGGGCGGCCCCACCCCGAGAGGCCCCTCCTTGGCTTCCGGGGCTCCCGGGCAGCCCCGGGGGCCCAGAGCCTCCGAGCTGAGAACAGCAGCGCCCAGGGGCCAAGAGAAAGCACGCCCCCAGCCCGAGCCCTGGTGGAGGGGCTCTGCCGGCCGGCACTCACCTGGGAGCAGAGCGTGCTCTTGTGGGCCTTCCGGTAGATCAGGGCCGGGCAGATGAAGCAGATGAGGCTCCCCATGGTGGCGCCCGTCAGGCCCAGGATCGTCTCCACTGGGGGCGACAGCGCCGGTGGGGTGAGCGCCGAGGGCCCCTGGCGGAGCGGCCGGCCCCTCCCACCCCGAGGTTTCTCCAGGGCGGCTGCGGGTGCCAGCCGGGAGCAGAGCCCGCCCGGACACGGGGCGACCGTGCAGGCTCAGCAGCCCTGCGACAGCCCGCGGCCACCTGCTCCCGCGGTGGTGCCTGTGCGTTTCCCAAGGACGCTGCTCCGGCCCTCAGCTGTGGGGCCTCCCTGGGGCCCCGCCCCGGCTCTGACGCCCCCTGGAAGCCCCCAGGGAGGCCTCTCGGTGGCTCAGCTCCCACCGCCCCCTAGCCTCGGCCAGGGGGCAGCTCTCTACCACCCCCGCCGCTCAGCGAGTGCCCAGCAGGACTGTCCCGGGACGTGGGTGGACGCCTGGGGTCGGGCCTCTGGGCTGGGACGTGGGGAGCGCACGTGCAGTGCCACTCAGTGCCTGTGGCAATAAGCCTTGCCTGTCCCTGGGGAGCAGACAGGGCCCTCGCCTCCCCCAGTGGCAGCAAGGAGCTGCTTCCGACTGCCGCCTGCCCAGAGCAGGCCTGGGCCCCCGTATCAGGGCCCTGCCCCGGCGTCAGCAGAGGTCCCCACGCCTGTTCGCGGCCCCTCAAGCTACCGCGCTTGTCCATGCCTTTCTCTGGCACCCAAGAAGCGGCTGAGAGTCTCCAGGCTTTTTAGGAGGCCGGGAGGATGGCAGGAGACCCCGAGATGTGGCGGCTGCAAGAGCCCACATGCAGCAGCGAGGATGCAGCACAGCGGGGCGCGGTGGAGGCTGGTGGCCGGGGCGGCCTCCACTTACCGTTGGGGATCAGGATCCCACCGACCATGGTTCCAAACACGACCGAGAGGGTGAGTGCTTTGAAGCGCAGGGGCGGCATGTAGCCTCCGGCGGCAAAGGTCCCATCCTTTTGCTACGGGGAAGGAAACGCAAATGAACAGGCTCTGAGATGCCGGCCCGCGCGCTCCGGTTCGAGCAGGCCCCTCGGGGGGGCTGCGCATAGAGGCCCCGCAGCCGGACCGTGAGGCGCGGGCCGCCCCTCCATCAGGTGAGGCCGTGACTCTGCAGCCCCGGGCTGAAAGGCCAGTGGCAAGTCCTGCCTCCTTTCAGAGAGACACCGCGAGAGAGAGCGACAGAGCGCCACGCAGGACGGCGAGCAGGACAGAGAGGCGGCAGCGCCCACGGGCCCCAGGACAGGACCGCACCCACCCACCCACACGCTAGCGGCTGCAGGGTGCACACGAACCAACCCCGAAGCCCTGCACCTCAGTGGCTCGGTGTCCTCGTGTGTAAACATGGGGTCTGACGGTGAGGACCGAGTGAGGTGATGGCCGTGAAGCTCCTGGAGCAACGTGGGGCACGCAGTGGGGCTGATTATGAAAACACCACTGCAGCCCTGACCAGTGGCTCGGTGGGATGGGCACCAGCCTACAAACTGCACAGTCACCGGTTTGATTCCCAGTCAGGCCACGTGCCTAGGTTGTGGGTTTGGTCCCTGGTCAGGGTGTGTATGAGAGGCAACCAATCGATGTTTTCTCTCCCTCTCTTTCTCCCTCCCTTCCCCTCTCTCTAAAAATAAACAAATAAGATCTTTTAAAATCAAAAAATGAAAACGTTCCAGGTACAGAAATGCAGGCACTGTCTGGATGCAAAGACATTTGCCAGGAACAGCGCAAGACGGAGGGCAGCAGCCCACAGGGCGGGGCCGGGCTGGACGCTGGGCGGGCCCACAGCCACCGCCCCCCAAGGGACGAAGTGCTGAATCGGGCCTGGCTTGGTGCCCGCTGCCTGAGCAGCTCAAGGAGCGAGGGGGGCAAACCAGGCCGGGAGCGCAGCCAGCAGGCCTTCCGGGCCTGGCCCCTGCGTGGGACGCCGTCTCTGGTGGCCGGGCCCTTGGGAAGCGGTGCTGACCACGTGGACAGGGAGCCCTAGCCCAGCTGCTCCGGAGCCTGGGAGCCCCGCCCTCCCCAGTCTGACTGGCACAGCCTGCCCTGGGGTCTCTGTGCCACAGACACGGCCTCAGCAGGTCACGTGGGCCTGTGCGGCCACCAGAAGTCCTGGCTGATGCCACAGGCCGGGCTCCAGGACCCCAGGCCAGGACACGACACCACTGCAGAGAGGGGCCGCAGGTCCCAGCTCCCGGGATGCTCCTGGGCAGCAGCCATCACGAGCGCGCCGTTTGCGGCCAGCTCCGCAGCGGCCGGAGTCAGAGCGCGGCAGCTCTTCACCACGGCCTCGGCAGAACCCGGCCCGCACATAGGGCGGCACCAGCGCCCTTTGTCAAACTGTTCAAGCGCACGGTCACACAGACGTGAGCAGGACAGCACGCTGACCCCAGCGGCCACCCGCCCACCTGGCCAAGGTCAGCTCCAGCACATCAAGCCAGCCCTCCTCGTCCCACCCACGCCTCCTCCCCCAGGATGGTGCGAATGCAAGGCCCCCATGGCCTGCTCCTTCTCTGGGGGGCAGCCTGGAGCCAGACGTCTCGGCGACAGGCCCCGGCTGCCTGGACACGGGCCTGACCACGCACGCACATCAGCCCGTTTGGTCTGGCACGCTCTTTTCTCCAAAGCTGGGTTAAAGAGAAAAATCCCTATTAAAAGATTCCATTTTACGCCCTAGCTGGTGTGGCTCAGTGGACTGAATGCCACCCTGCAAACCAAAGGGTTGTAGGTTCGATTCCCGGTCAGGGCACAGGCCTGGGTTGTGGCCAGGTCCCCAGCAGGGGGCGCATGAGAGCCAACCACACACTGAGGTTTCTCTCCCTCTTTCTCTCTCGTACTCCCTCCCTTCTCCTCTCTCTAAAAATAAATAAAATCTTTAAAAAAAAAATTTCATTTTAAGTGGACCTTTTTTGTTTAGTTAGGAAAGCCTGCCCTCTGTTGCCCAGGAAAGTGAAAGCCACCGGAGAGAACGTCGTGAAGACCAGAGACTCGTGGGCCCGCAGCACCGTCGTCCGCAGGGGGGCCACCTCACCTGCTGCTCAAAGAGCAGCGTGTTCAAGGCCTGTCTGCAGGGCAGGATCATCATGGGGAAGCCCACGGCCACCGACATCATGAAGCCGACGCGGATCATCTGCGTCACCAGGTTGGAGGGGAAGTGCATCAGCACGTTGCCAGCAATGGCCTCGGTGAAGCTCACGTAGCCGAAGAACCCCACCTGCCGGAGGACAGAGCAGAGCGGCGTGTGCCGGGGCTGCCCGCCCCCCCGCCGCCGGCCCGCAGGAGGCCCTCCTCCATGGAAGCGAGGGCACCATGTGGCTCTACAGGGGGTGGCAGGGCTCCCAAGAGCCCCGCATGGAGAGGGTGGAGCCGGGCCTCGGCACCGCACCCGTGGAGGGCAGGGTCTAGTGTGGTCTGAAGCCCCAGCCGGGGTGCCGGGGGTGAGCTATCCCCGTGGACAAGACGCCTGGCAACAGGATGCACGGATCATCCGTGCACGCGACAGGAGCGGGGAAACCGCGGGGCCCAGAGCCACAAGCTCGGCGCGTTCGATTCTGTCTGCAATGTCGCAAGCAGTGACCGGGCACATCCAGAGATGGGAGGGGGGACGGCCAACTGACGGACTCAGCCCCTCCCTGCCAGGAGGGCGGGCCGGGGCCAGGGCCAGGAGCACCCCCCCGACGGGGCACGAAGCCCACCAGGGCGGAGCAGCTCTCACGTGCCCGGAGTGGAGGAGCAGGCCCGCCTGCGACCAGGGGGCTCCGGGGCACTGTACCAGGGGTCTGTCTGTAAGGAGCGGGGCACTGCCGCCCGCCCGTGATGCTGGGGGGAGGGGCGTGAGGGTCCTACCATGACGTAGAAGGCGGTCACCACGTTGAGGGAGGAGGCAAATATGGAGCTCATGGTTTTCACGGACGGCTCATCCAGGCTGTCGTACGTGGGCAGGACCTGGCTGTGTAAAAACAGGTGGCTTCACAAAGCAGACTCCAGAGACAGGCGCGGCCGCCCGGGCTGGCAGCCCCAGGTCCCCAGCCCAGAGTCTCTGACACCTCCCCTCCCCCTCCCCCCGCCACCATGTAACTCAGCCCAGCCAAGACGCTGCACCAGGGGGAGGGGGGAGCTGGGGGGCTGGGAGTCCTCCCGACGCGCTCCCTGCAAGCGTTTGACAAGTGCCGCAGCGTGAAAGGCCGTCTGTCCCCCTGAAGCGGGGCGTGACCGCTCTGGGGAGCATGGGGCTGGGCAGAGGCAGCGTGTTTACGGGAAGCAGGAAGCGGTTCAGAGCACTGCTGTCAAAAGACTGGAAAGTTAAACAAACACAAGGCAGCCTGGACGCCCGCCCACGTCTGCGCCTCAGCAGCGCTCCCGGCCGCGTGGACAGGAGGCTGGAGACGACAGAAGGGTAGCTCCCGTCCCACGCCCAGGCCGGCCGCGCAGAGCTGCCCGGTGGGGAAGGGGCGTGTCTGCGTGGGCTCCCCCACAGCAAAGCAGGGCGAGGAGGAGGGCGGGGCAGCGCAGGAGGAGGGGGCTGCTCTGGGGGCGCCTGCACGGGGAGACGAGGACGGAGGCAGAGCGGAAGGGGGCGGCTCTGCAGTCCCGCCGCCGCGGCCCCACGGCCGCCGCGGCCCGTGGTCACGCTGCACCGAGTCACACGGGCTCCACAGCACAGGGAGGAAGTGCGTCGACAGAAAACCATTAGCGAGGAGAGAAGCCTGGTGGTCCCTGGAGCCAAACCTCAAAACTGCCTTTACAAAGTGAGATGCAAACCAGGCGGACACACTACATTCACCACAGAGCAAAGGACTGGAACAGGCGAGGGTGCTTGGCTGCCAAAGGCTGAGGCCCACCACCCACTCCCTCAAGCAGGTGCGCGCGGACCCCGAGGCCACAGGGGAGGGGCTGACACGTGGCTCCTGGGCTGCGGCAGGGTCCCCGAGGAGCCCGGCTTGTGAGGCGGCGCCAGGCGCAGGGCCGAGGCCTCCCCCCGCCCCAGCTGCTGCACCGGGAGCTGTGGGCACCGTGGGGGGCTGTGCAGGGACAAAGGCGGGGAGCCCCAGCGCCACCCCCCCGATCGTGGCCGTGCCCTGGGAGCCTCTGCTGGCGGGGGCCACAGACCCCCACAGCACGGCAGCCTCACTAAGCGGCCCCAGGGCACAGACCCAGGCCCCCCCCGCCCTCCGGGCCCCGCTGCCTCTGCGCCCTGCACCCCCGGCCTCCAGAGGAGGGTCGGAGCCTCACAGCGACACAAAGCGGAGGCCTGGCCGTGCCTGCAACAAGGGGACCAGTCACACCGGCAGGGCCAGTTGAGCACCAGCAAGGGCAGGCGGGAGCCCTGGTCCCTGCACGTGCTCCAGCGCGGCCACCACAGGAGGGATGGGCTCTCTCTGCTCCAACAGGAGGTTGGCAGGCTGGCCGCCAAGCTGCGTGTGGCCTCCCACTGCTCGCAGGAGACATGGCATACATCTGCGGGCTCACCGCCTGCGTACGGGGCAGGACGAGCTTTCGGGGGCCTACGTCGTGACGGGCCTAAGAAACAAGCCCAGCAGATGGGCACTGGCTGCCACGTAGCCACCGCCACACCAACAACCACGGGGTGTTATTAAAAAAGCAAACTCCAGACCGAAGGGGCAGCTGGTAACCAGGCCCCCGGTGAAAGCAGGTCACCTCGGTCGCCGGCTGCGAGGGACCAGCGAGGGCAGAGCGCCCACTAGCAGACATGGTGCGGCCTAGGGAAACGGAGGGGCGACGGCTCGGGGCCCTGCACGTGGGCATGAGCACAGGGGGCGGGCACGCTTTGTGCCACCCTGGTTTGCGACTGGAGCGATCACACCGCTGGGACCGACGGGTGCGAGCCGCGCTGCCAGCGCCCACTCCCCGATGCTCCCTTCCCGTCCGCACCGCGTTCGCGCCTCCCTTCTGCACGGGCGGCTGGCTCTCGCCACTGGTGGCGAAGGCGCTGCAGCTGGAGTTCCAGGAGCGGGCTGGGCTGCGCTCGCCGGGCCCCGCGCCAGCGCGAGGCGCAGGCCCGCGGAGCAGCCGCTGACAGCGCCTGGAGGCAGCCCGCAGGCAATGTTTGTGCAGCGTCCTTCGCAACATTCCCGCGCAAACAGCTCGCTGCTGGCAGGACGCTGGGGACTGTGATCAGATGGCGTGGGCCGCGGGGAGCTGGCAAACTGGGCGCTCTCACCAGGAGCGCCAGCAACGCGTCAGGAATAAGGCTGAGTTCTCGTCGTAAAAGATACACGGAAACACAACCGTCTCCCCCTGGAGGTCGGGGCGGAGGCCACAACCGAACAGGACACGGCGCCAGCGGCCTGCACTGGGCGGCTGAAGAAAGCGGCCAAGGCCGTGGCCTGCGTCAGACCCCCACCCACACGGAACACAGCGCCCGGGCCCTGGCGGTACTTACGACTGGCAGGCAAAGGACATGCCGAAGATGGGGATGCAGCGGAAGACGCCCTCCCAGCGGACGTAGCTGACCCGCCGCAGCCACTGCCCACCGAACAGGCCGTGCTTGAGCGAGCACAGCAGGACCTGTGGGAGGGGGAGGGAGAGGCGCTCGGGGTCCAGCCATCCTGCTCCCCGTCACAGCCCGCACGCGCCCCAGGGGAAGCCTGGGGCCGCCGGCTGGGGGTCTGCACGGCCCATCCCCTGCCCTCGGCTGGGCCACAGGCTGGCCGAGTGTTGCCAAGAGAAGCACCCGCTGCAGGGCCCGCCTGGTGCTTGGGACAGTGGCCAGCGCAGGTGCCACTGAGCCCAGGCAGCAAACAGCAAGGCCCAGCGCTGCGCCCACTCTGTTGCCTCAGGGATGGGATGGGCCCCCGACCCAGCCCCACGAGGGCGGGCTCGTGCGTGCACAGCCGTCCTGGGTCGGCACCCTCCGCTGAGGGCTGCTGGGAACACACACCAGTGCTCGGCCCTCGAAGGACAGCCGATCACAGAGCCTTCTGGGCTCTGCTCCCCAGGGAAGCCACCTGGCCTTGCCAGCGAAAGGGCAGGCCAGGGCCCGGGCCCTGGGCAAGCGCTCCGTGAGAATCAAGTGTTCTGAGTGCCCACTGCTCACGGGACCCTCCCACCTGGTCGTTCAGAAATGTTCGCTTAGGAAACAATATCCCCCATGACCAATGCTGGCGCGGTGACTCCTGGCCACACGCCCACCTAAAGCTTGTCCCCGAGCATGAGGTGCGGCCTCGCCCTCCCGTCCCAGGGGACCCGCTGAGGCTCACGGGGACGAGCCTCCATGGCTCCCCGGCTCTTGGCCGCCCCGGGCACTCACCACGAGCAGGAAGGCGGCGTAGAAGAGGAGCGCCATGGCACTGAAGGACTGGATGGAGGCCATCACGTTGCGCTGCAGGCTCAGCGGGAGCACCATGCACAGCGACACCGCGAACAGCAGGAGCGCGCGGAAGGTGCCAGTCACCTGGGGGCCGAGAGGGGGCTGGGCGGGCGCCACCCACCCATCCCCCTTGGCCCCCAACCCAAGCACCCAGGCCTGACCCCTCCGGTTCCAGCAGGTCTGAGATGGTGACTTAAGGGGTGTTGCATGAGCGTGCCAGGACTCCAGACACCGGAGAGGGTCCCTACCTGAAACCCAAACAGCCGAGCAAAGAAGTTGGACCCCAGATCACCAATGACCACGTAGAAGGCGACGCAGGTCCCCAGCATCAGCCCTATCATGCTGCGGAGAAGGAAGCGGCGGCTGTAACGGCAGCGGGCAGGGGCCTGCGGCCTCACCACGCTCAGCACCCCCGCCGAGGACCGGGCGCGGCTGTGCTCACGGTCCAGGCGTGACACTGACCCGGAGCCCGGTCCTGCTGAGCCGCTGCACACACGTCCCCCGAGGCCGCGCCTCGCGAGGAGTGTGATTTCACACGTTTATGGTACCCGGGGGTGTCCCCAGGTTTTCCTTGGGACGAATATCGAATAACACTGCGCTTTTCTTCACGGGGTTTTATGGTCTTCTCTCCACAGGGGCTTCTGAAAGTCCTCAGATGCCACAAAGCTGCACTATGACGCCAGGCAAGTCACAGGACACCCAATGGCTGTCAGAAAGGCTGGTCCCAGATTCAGAAGCCTGATGATGCAACTTCCCAGTAATTTTTCCATCGCATACAATTTTATTCCAACGGGAGAAAAACAGGGCATTTCCTATTTGACGCAGCCTTGATGCAGCCGTGTCAGGGGTGCGGGCACCCCAGCGCCGGGAGCGGCGCCGAGAGGTTACGGCAGCAGAGGGAGCCCCGCAGTGCTCCATTCCCAGGCGTCCGTGTTTCCATTCCTCCTGTGAGACCTAAATAAGGCTTCCACCTCGACGTGCATTGTTTTAAGGGTACGATAAATTGGACGTTCAAATATTTAGCAAATAACACATTGGAAACACACTGGAAGCTATAACCAGCCCACGCCTGAAGCATGTGCTTCGCCTCGTAACGGGGCCAAGCTTCTCGCTGGCTACGGCTGATGGGGGGGCTCCCGCAGAGGGGCGCTGCCTACCTGGTCTCCACCAGCATCTTCCCGGCCTTCCCGTAGGTGTGGAATGCTAGTGCAAAACAGAGAGATCGAGGCTCAGTCCAGCAGCGAGGAGCGACCGCCGTAAGGACGCTCCAGGTGCAAGTTGTGGAAGGCAACGTGACAACCACCTGCTGGTCTGACGTTTCCCAGGTGTAAGAGGGACACTTTTATTTTGGTCCCATGCTTTTCTCGGATCTATGATCGACAAATGGAAACCACATAAAACAAGAACAAAGCAAGGAAAGACAGGCAGGTTGGTTTTTCACTAAAAAAAATATTTAAAAAAGAAAGGAAGAAAAACCGTCCCTGCACCACAACTGTTGCCCCGCACGGCAAGCAGGGGGGAGGCCTGCCTGGAGGAGGCCCCCAGAGGCGACCCTGCACAGGGCCGGCTGCCCAGACAGAACCGAGAGGTGAGAGGCGCCCTGCCCACCACGCCCAGTTTTCACAGCTGGAACCCGAGGGCCCGGCTGAGGGCCCTCACGCTCCCTGTCCGGGGTTTTGGAAGACGTAGAGCGTGCGTTCAAGCACGGCCCTCTGGGACTGGGACTGGGGGGCCGCGTCCTCGCAGGCCGGCCGCGTTTCAGGGCGGACGACGATGGAGCCCGGACGGCTCTGTGCACCTCGCACACCTGGCGCGCCCCCCGGCGGAGAGCAGCGTCCGTCCTTCCTTCCTTCCTGACCCTGGACCCGCTCCCAGCAGAGGACATGCCAGGAGCCAACCGCCACCATGGTCCAGCGGAGCCCCCAGGGTCTCCCAGGAGCAACCAGACTGGGGCCCCACCTCCGGCCCCCGTCCTGCCCTCCCCGGGGCCAGGGCCCCCTGAGCAGGTTTAGGAAGCAGGAAGCACACAGGCCACCGGTGTGGATGCCCAAAACCCCTCGTCATCTCTTTCAAATCCCTCAGGGAGAGGGCATCGCCGACGGCCTCTGGCTCGGCACCCTGTCCCCAGGGGCCTGGGCCAGCGAAGGCAGCCCTCGGGGTCCCCTGGCCTCCCCGCTGTCTGACCCCTGGGTGGGGGCCCGCATCTCAGGAGCCCCCCACAGGGCCTGTCTGCATCCGGGAGCGACCTGCACCCGCACAGGTCCCTGCACGGGATGCCAGTCAAGGTCCAGCTGAGAACTTCGGACCCTGGGAGCTCCAGGCAACAGACAGCAGCCCAGGCCACGCTGCCACCAGAAAGGTCCGCCGTACCCCTCGGTGATAGCCATCAGGCAGCACGCGCTGGACAAAAACCGAGGGCCCGGACACAAGGGAGGTGCGCTCCTGGCCACCCCAGCCTCCTCCTTCTCCAAAAGGAAGTGCGGTGTCTACAACACACTCGTAAGTGCTCAGAGATAGTTCCAGGACACACCTGTGTGCTAGGCAGAGGGAAGGGGCTCTATGAAGTCAAAGCATCAACCTGGGAGGGGCATTTCTTCACCCAGAAAGACGCATCTGGTTCCCAGAGCAATGGCCCGAGGGGGCAGGGCCCCAGCCTCCGTCTCCCCCTTTCCTTCACTGGCGCCAGCCCGGCCACTGCATGCTCACCCCTCCCCCCTCCCCGCACCGGTCAGGCGGTCAGGCACCGGTCTCTCCGCTACCTCTCACCCCGAGTCCCGAACACCAACACCTAGCAGCGCCCCCACCTCCTGCCTGGCATGGCTCTGGGAGGTTGGGGCGTGGCCTACGCTCCCACTCCTTGGGGGCGGGGGTTGGGGGGACCACGGCACCAGACCAGGGCGGCGGCAGGCTGACCAGGGCCACAGATGGGGCGGCCAGATGACGAGGGGGCCAGGGGACCACAAACTGCTCCCACCCAGGGCCCTAGGGCACTGCCACACTCAACAGCCTGGGGCGCGAGTCCCGGCAACCGACGAGCTGGTGCTTCCCTGCATCCTCTGAAAGGGGGTTTAGGGGACTCTGCGAAGGCAGCGCATGCAAAGCGAGGAGCAGCCGGGGGAGGCGGGTCAATGTCGCAGAGGTGCCCAGAAGCAGCAAACAAAGCGCCACACACACAGCAACACCAGCGAAAACCCACCGGCGCCGTGAGTCCCTGCCGGGCACAGGCCTTGCTGCAGCGGGGCCCGCGTGGCGCCCGCCGCCAGGGGCTCAGCCAACCGGGAACTGCCGCAAACTCAAGCCCGCCCATCAGGAGCGCACCGTCCCCCTCACGGTCCCCAGGTCTGGACAGAGGCCGCCTGTCCATCCCCTACCCCCACAGCTGCTCACGTCCGAGGAGGACCCAGCAGGCGACGGGGACGGGGACGGGGACGGGGGTGGCGAGGGAGCCGGCTGACCCAGGCTGCCTGTCCCCACCAGCAGCACCGGAGGCAGCGGCGCTCCTCTCAGGCCACCCTCGGGCCCGGCACAAGCCCTGGCGGCCCCTCTCCCAGGCAGAGGGAGAGAGGCCCCCGAAGCAGCAGCAGCAAGCGGCGGCCGGGAGGTGGGAGGGCTGCGGGCCCCCGGCGCCGGAGAGACCCTGAGCCCCTCCGTTTGGGCTCCTCCCCCGGGCTGGGCCTCCCGTTTCTGAGACGGGACCACGGTGAAGCCAGGACGGCAGGCGGCTGGCACGGATGCGGGGGGAGCCCTCTTGTTGGGGGCGCCAGACATAACGGGAGGCCACCGGTGGCCTCACCGTCCTGCTTCCAGCGGCGGGCACAGGGCCGTGGCCGTCCCAAGCGGGAGCCCCGGGCAGCCGTGTGGAAGGGCGTCCAGAGGCACCCGGACCTGCCTCAGCCTTTCCCGTCCAGCCAGGCCGGCGTCCCTTCCCCGGGACCGTCCAAGAATAATCAGGCAGCGGTCAAAAACCACGGCCTCCCCGGGGCACGGCCGCTTGCCCTTTCAGACACAGCCGGGCACCTCGTGGGGCACTGGCTGCAGGAACCCCGCTGTAGTGCAGGGGCCCTCCAAGGGGAGAGAAAGGCCGCCCCGCAGGCCCTGGCCCCGCAGGGGAAGAGGGACCGCCCGGGGCGCGCCCCCTCCCAAGATGAAGGAGGGCTCCTTGTGGGTTGGGTTCAGCCGGCAAATCTCACTTCCTCAGGCGACTGCGCCCCGACGAGTCTGACAGCACCACTAGCGTCGGGAAGAAGGAAGGAAGCAGCCCTCCCGCAGCCGAGGCCAGAATGCACCGGCTCGGCGCCAGGCCGAGCCGACGGGCCGGGCGGGGCCGGGGGGCGGGTAGACAACCAGAGGCTGCGCCCCACGTGGGTCGCCCCGGCACTGGCGTTTTGTTTGTCCCCTGGAGCTCTGCACACCCATGTCCTCTCCCCGGGACAGCTGTGAGCTGAGGCCGGGGCAACTCTCGTGGGGAGAGCCCAGCGGCCGGCCACGGGTGGGCGGGGGGTCGGGGCTTTCCCCAGACACGCGCAGGGCCAGCTCCCACCCTGCATTTCCCACGAACAGGATGCAGGGCCGGGGGCGTCTGGAGGCAGGAGCAGCGAATGCAGCAGCAACCCGGCCGCCAGAGCTCAGCTGCCCTGCAGCCGCTCCAACCGAAAGGAAACAGAGTGCGGCCTCCCCTCCCCTGGCCAAAAACCGAGGAAGGAAGAAAGAAGGCAGGAAACAGAACTACAGCTGACAGCACCCGGGAGTAGAGAAGCCAGTGGGTGGACAGGTGACCTGACCCGGTGACAAGCCTGCCCCGAGCAGCACCCTCCGTGGCACTCAGAGCGGGGCGGAGAGCAAGGTGCTGCAGGCTCCCCCAGAGGCCCCGCCCCGGGAGGGCAGAGGGGCGGGGCTCCTGACAGGAGGGACCTCTCCCTGCGCCTTTGCTAAAAGGGGGGGGGAGCAGGGGGCGGGGAGGAAAGTGCCTCAGACCCCTTCACATCACCTCAATTTCTCAATTTCGAAGCATGTGACTATAGTACCACTGTTTAAAAGCTGCATTATTTAAAAATAAGGAAAATAATTGCAGTTGAAGGCACGCTTGAATAAAGTGGAAGAACAGTGAGTCCGCCCAGACCCAGGGCAGGGCTCCGCGCGGAGGGGCCGGCGCCCTGCGGCCCACATGCTCACCCAGGCCCGCGTAGGTCCTCCGCTTGCTCAGGGCGGCGGCCTTCACCAGGAACATGCAGGACTGGTGCGTCATCCAAGAGCAGAAGGCCAAGAGCAGGGCCCCCAGGACGATGCCGCACTGGAGGGTTGGAAGAGAAAGGGACGTTGACAAAAGAAACCTGCGCTGCTGTCTTCACTGTGCAGGCCCACGGCTGCACTGCGGCTTCCGGAAGCCCCTCCACTGCCGGGCAGGCCGGCCGTCCCTGCAGACACAGGCCCCAGCTCCGTGCCACTCCCCTGTCCCTGGCACAAAAGGGATCAGTCCCTGGGTGTGGGCGCCACAGGCTTTCTCCAGGGACATCAGATCTGTGCGTGTCCTGTAGGAGCGCCCGGACTTCTCGTCCCGAGCCCCCCACGCGTCTCGGTACACGCCCCGCAGCACCTCCCAGTTCTCTGCACACCCTGCCGGGCACCGCCACCTGGCCGCTGCGATCAGCAGCTACGAGCGGTAAACGTATCCTGGAAGAAGATTAAAAATGACATTTATGCCTTTCTTATAAGTTAAACAGACACTCGACCATCTGACCTAGCAACTGCTCTCCTAAGTATTTATCCAGGAGAAATGAAAGCGTGTGTCCATGTAAAAAAAAAGCTGCATGCCAACACCTGTAATCCAGAAACTGAGGACGCAACGCAGCGCCCCCCTGGTGTCTACGAGAGCTGAGCGAACACTCACCCTGCGACCTGGCCCTTTGCTCCGAGGTGAGCCCCCGACAAAACGCAGACACAGGGTCCTGGCCTGCGCGTGTGTTCAGAAGAGTTCCAAAGAGGAAATGCCATGCGTGCCCAGCAAAGGTAAAAGAATAAATGGTGGAGCGTCCATGCAGTGGAATACCAGCCAGACATTAACACCAACACGTTACACAATTCTAGTTACATGGAGCTCAGAAGCAGGCCACGTGGGTCTCTGGTGCCAGCGGTGGGTGGTGGACCCTTCGGGGGGAGGCAGTGGTCAGGGCGGGGAGGGGGGCGGGCAAGGCTGTGCTCCCTAATCTGGGAGCTAGGGACAAGTGCGTGTTCCTTTCATAAGAACTTATTAACACTGCACCTAAAGCGTGTGCACTTTTCTGTACGCACAGTATACATCAACAAAATATTAATTCTTTTAAAATTTCCTTTAATTATATTTATTTAATCCTCGCCCAAAGATATATTTATTGATTTTAGAGAGAGAGGAAGAGAGAAAGAGAGACATCGATGTGAGAGAGAAACATCGACTGGTTGCCTCTTGTCTGCACCCCAACCGGGGACCAAACCGGCAACCCAGGTATGCACCCTGACCAGGGATTGAACCCGCAACCTTTTGGTGCACGGGACAACACGCTACCCAACCAAGGCACATCAGCCAGGGAAACATGCTGATTTTTTTTTAAAGTGCCAAAATTACTAAAACCAAACAAACCAAAAACACCAAACTTAAAAAATGACATGGCTGCCGCCCACCACAATGACACACCCCCAAGCTGCTCTCTTGCCTCCCGCTGGGCCCCGGCCAGGGGCTCCCCCAGGGGGAGATTCCGAGGCCCCAGGACAGCGTCGCCCCAGACTCGGCCCGCCCTGGGCGCGCGGAGCTGCGCGCTCTTGCCGGGCGGTGGGCCTGGCCGCCTGTGACTGCTCTGGCGGGGGGCCTGTGCCCCTGCCACCCCCCACAGCAGACACTGGGGTCTGTGGGCGGCCACCTTGGCACCCCCCACACAGGCATCAAGGCTGCGGGACCTGCCAACTGCACGACTCTGGAGGCAGTTCTGTGCCAGGCACATCGCAATGCACGCTGGGGCCCCCCACCAGGGACGCACAATGCCCGGGCACAGGTGCTGCCAGAGGGGCGCGGCCTGGCCTCCCACACCCGCCAGCAGGCCACCCTCCCGCCAGGCAAGGCAGACGCAGTTTCACCCAGAAGGGCTGGGGGGCTCAAGCGGGGGACCAAAAATCCCCAGATTAAAAACATGTCTTTTGCTATTTTTAAAAAAGATTTTATTTATTTTTAGAGAGGGGGGAAAGGAGGGAGAAAGAGAGGGAGAGAAACATCAACATGTGGTTGCTCCTCGCACACCCCCAACTGGGGACCTGGCCTGCAACCCAGGCAGGTGCCCTGACTGGGGATCGAACTGACCACCCTTTGGTTCGCAGGCCGGCGCTCAGCCCACTGAGCCACGCCAGCTGGGGCTGCTTTGCTACTGTTACGCAAAAGGCGCTAAGTATGAAAAATGCAAAGTGTCTGTTACTCTAAAATTAAACTCCTGGGGCCCATTTTTCAGTTCCAAAATATCCATCTTATTCTCATTTTTCCACCTTATTTGATTTCGTCCAGAAGACTGGTCTTGGCCGACTTGGCCCCGCATCCTCCGCAGCGGCGGGGCGGTGGTGGGGGCCACTCCTTGGTCGCCCCCACCCTCAGGCTCGCTCCAGCGGGGTCAGCGGGGCGGGCCGGGCGGGGGGCAGCGACCCCGCCCTGGATGCACAGGAAGCTGAGAAGGGTAGTTTTAGGAAATGAGTTGCCGAATTTGATGATTCCATCAACCGCCCTCTCTAAAGCACCAAGTGCCTGCTTATTTGTGGATTAAGCTGAAGGCAAAAGGATCCACCCGTCAGCAACGGCGACTTTCTCTCCTGCCGTCTGTCAGGATGGCAGGACATAATTTTGTAACCTTCCCGAATTTTTTCAATGTTTCCATGTGCATATCGCCAACTGCGCAGATCTAAAAGCGCACTAGCCGGCGACCTTTGTAACCAACTTGGAACAAGCGCCCCTGGGTCCACGCCCGGGGGACCCGACGCGCCCCCTTCTGCACGCAAGTGCCGCCGGGTCGGAGTGCTAAAGAATAACGACACGACAGCGCTGAGCCCGCGGGTCCCTGTCCGTCGTCGGACGGTCACTGGGCGCTTCGTCCGAAGTTTCTAAACGGGCGGCGCCGGCGCCGGCACGGAGCGCTCCCGACTGAGCGAGGTCTCTCGGATTCCGCCCGTAGACCCCCAGGCGCGGCCACCGAGCGCCCCCACCCCGCCCTGGGCGCACCCGGCCCGGGGGGCAGCGGGCGGCGACCGCTGCCCGCTGGACTCACCTGTTTGAAGCAGAAGGGCATGGTGAGGACGCTGACGCCTACTATGCTGTTCACTATGTTCATGATCAGCCCCCAGTTGGAGGCGGCGGCCGCGGTCATAGCGCGGGGTCTGGGCCCGGGGGCCCGGATGCGAGGCGCCGGGACCGCGGCTGGGCGCAAGGCCCTGACAGGAGCGGGAGGCTGCCTGGAGGAGGTGGCCTCGCGCGAAGGCGGCGGGGGCCGTCAACCTGCACACCCCTCCAGGCCCCGCAGCCACCTCAGGGCATCGTCTCCCGCTCACTCGCTCGCGCCGACCGCCTCCGCGTCCCCGCGCCCAGACCCGGAAGAGCCGCCAGGTGCCAACCAGGCACACCTCCAACCGGCTTCGCGGCCGGCCGACGCGCACACTTCCGCCTTCCGCGGGCTCCTCTGCCCGGAAGTGACGGCACGGAGGCGGGGGCGTGGGGCAGGAATGGGTGGGGCCTACCAGGGCACCGCGGGGCTCTGCGGGGGCGCGGGCCTCGGGGCGGGGCTATGTGGGTCGCAAACCACTGAGAGGCAGGCCCTGCCGTATGGGCGGGGCAAAGGGCGGGACTGGGACGGGGCCGGCCGGCCTGAGAGCTATGCACCTGTGCAGAGCGCAGCCCTGGCCTTGCGCCGCTGGTCTTGCTAAACCCCCTCCTTGCAAGGGCTGGAGCCGTAGGGACTCGCCCGCAGAGCCCCGCTCCGGAATGGCAGTGGACGGCCAGAGAGAAAGGGCCGTGTCGCGCCTTCCGGAGAGAGGCGGGGTTTCGAGGGCTCATTTTAGCAATTACACCCTGGGACCGAAGTCGGAGAGTGTTTTTGGTACCCTGGGCCCTGGGGCGGAGCCTTAACGGTCTGGGCCGAACCCTTAAATCTGCTCGAAAGAGTTAGCACCTGCCTTTTACGAGTGAGACGCAGAGGCACAGAGAGGTTTGGTGACTTGGCTAAGGTCACAAAGCTCATAAGAGGGACATGGGGATCTGCTCCCCGGGCCAGCACCCTTCAGAACTGCGCCCGGAGCAGCGAGAGGAGAGAATCCGGCACTCTAATGTTAAAGGTGTAGGGAAATACTGAGAGACAGCAGGAAAGGCAGAGACCTATGTGACCAGAGAAATCTAGGAGGGCCTCAGAAAGGTGGTGGTCTCTAGTCTGGACCTTGAGAAACAAAAGTGAGAAGAGAAGGAGCCTGGACTCCTGGACCACCTGGTGGAGCAGCGCCGCCGTCCCCAGCCCCTGACCACCTCCTCCAGGCTGCTCCGTGAGGGGCGGACAAACCACCATGTTTAAGCCAGTTACTTTGGATTCTCTTTCATGAAGTCAAAGCTATACCCTAACTAATTCAATAGCGCCCTGGGGTAGAACATTTTGCATTGTTTACTTTTATGCTAATGGATTTACATGTATAATTTTTTTTTCCCAATCCTCGCCCAAGGGCTTTAGAGAGAGAGGAAGGAAAAGAGAAAGAGAATCATCAACGTGAGAAAGAAATCAGTTGGTTGCCTCCCGTACGCGCCCCAACTGGGGATCAAACCTGCAACCTAGGTGTATGCCCTGACCAGGAATCACACCCACCACTTTTCAGTGTACCGGACGATGCTCCATCCGGTTGAGCCACTCAGGCAAGGCTATGTATAAACTCTTCTACAATTCCCTTTTTCTCCACAACTTTGTTTGCAAAATTCACCCTTATATTGCAGGTACTCTGAGTCATTCATTCTTGCTCTTCTGTGGAAATCTGTTGCTTAAAAAGCCCAGAATATGCATGTCCATTCTCCTGCTGAGGGCACCTGAGTTGTTTCCACTGACTTGCCATTATAAACAGTGAAGCAGGAACATTACGATACTTGTCTCCTTCCTATGCTAGAGTCTCTAGGGTAAATACCCGGCCGTGGAATTGCAGGTTCCAGCCCTCGCATACCTTTGATCTTCCTGGATGTCGCCAGATTGCTCTTCAAAGCAGTTGTAAGAGTTCTTGCCAGTTTACATCAGAGGCTGGAAAACTTCTGTAAAGGTCCGACAGCGCGTTTTCTGCTGTGCAAGCCATGAGGCCTGTGTCACAACTATTCACTTCTGTCTTTGTAGCTCAAATAAGCGTGTCTCTGTGTCAATAAAACTTTATTTACAAAAGCACGGGGAGGCCCAATTTGACCGGAGGACCAAGGGTGAGGACCCCTGCTCTACTCTGCCATCGATTTGGCCTTCCGGGGAATGAAATGGAATCTCATTGCGGTTTTAATTTGTTCTCCCTAATTACAGATGAGGTTAATCATCTGCTCACACTTCTCTTGTCCATTCCTGTTTTTTTTTGGTGAAATGCTTATTCATTCTTGCCCATTCTTCTAATGAGCCGTTTGTCTCTGTTCTTATGCACTCCGGAGAGCTCCTTCTATGTGCTCGATCACTAACCTGCATGCCCCGCTTTGGGTTTGTGTGGTGACTCCTCACAGTACTAGCTTTTCATTCTGTCCTAACAAATCTCTGCAAACTCAGTGGCTCACCCAAGACAAACCCACTATCTCACAGGTGGCAAAACTCCGTTCCTCTGGGCAGTAAGACCAAGGCCACGTTTTCTCACCAGCTGCGAACCGAGGGCCGTTCCCAGCTTCCCGGGGCTTGCGGCTTCTCGGGGCTCGCGGCCCTCTTCCTGCAACTTCAGAGCCAGCAGCGGTGGGTGGAGTCTGGGGGTGTCGATGGCTTCTCACGTGTCCTCTCCCTGACCCAGCCAGGAAAAATTTTCTAATTTTAAGGATTCATGTGATTAGACTGAGCCCATCCGGATAATCCAGGATAATCTTCCCATCTCAAGGTCTATAACCTTAATCCCATCTGCAAAGTCCCTTTTGCCATGTAAGGTAATATGTTCCCAGGTTTCAGGGCTCAAGCAGGGGGTGGCGGGAGCCCATCGTTGGGGGGCCATTACTCTGCCTGCTACACTCGTGATAAGATTCCAATTGTGTTTCTTTAGCAGAAACTGCCCGGAAGTGGTGCCCCTGAATCCTCTAAGGCGCGGGTGTAGTTTGTCCCATTACCGTGACGGACCCCTCGTCACTTGATTAGATAGGCTCTTCCAGGGTCACGTTATCTCTTTGTAACGAATGAGTGGTTTGTGGGGAGACACTTTGAAATGAAACAGCTTAGTCCTTATCAAACTTACAATTTGCATTTAAAAACACATAGTTTTTTAAAGATTTTATTTATTTATTTTTAGGGAGAGGGGAAGGAAGGGAGAAAGAAGAGGAAACATCCATGTGTGATTCCCTCTCGCGCACCCCCTACCGGGAACCTGGCACGTGCCCTGATTGGGAATCGAACCGGCGACGCTTTGGTTCGCAGTGCAGCGCTCCATCTGCTGAGCCACGCCACCTGGGGCACCAAACTTGCGATTTATTAGTTCATCTGTATCCGTGTGGACTCATGGTTTCTTATTTTATTCAAGGGTTTCTGACCCATCACCATCGCTATACATTCTGGTGCTTGAATCATCCCAGACGGGGACCGGGAGAGCCCCTTCGGTTGGCTCCTGTGTCCTCAATGTGCCCTCGTCACTCTTTGAGCTCTGTTTTTCCTTCCTCATCCATGAGATGTTCCTTTCCCAGCTCATCTTGCACTTTTCATGGAACCAGTCATTTCTCCAAGGAGCCCTGGCTCCTCCCAGGGGAGGGTGGCAGCCGTGATCTGAGCCCCGAGTGCGTGCGCAGCCGCTGCATCTGTGCCCTGGCTCCTGGGCCCCGCGTTGGACGGAGCTGGAAGACACGCTGCGCGCACGTACGCTCACCCCCAGGCCTCCTCCTCCGTCTGCCTGCCCACACTGAAAGCCGCGCGCCCACCGCGGGGGCAGAGCCTGGGCGGTGTGGCCACCTGAGGACTGGCCACCGCAGGTGGAGGACGGAGCCGTGACCGCGCCTGCGGCGGGCTGTGGGGCCGAATGTAGAAGTCCCAGTGAGGGCCGGCCCCCTCTTTCCCCAAGAGCGTCTTTTTGGGCAATTCCCCGCTTTTCTGCCAGTGTCTCCCACTCCCAAACTTGAGGCCAGGATGGCCCCTTGGAAATGAGTATTGGAGACCCAGGGGCCTGGGCTTTCGTCTCCGGGCAAGCGGGGGTTACCCGTTCACTCAGTCCCGTGGCTGAGCTGTCCAGGAGCTCGAGGTCCCTGTCTGGTCGGCTTCCCCCGAGGCTGCCCCACATCCAGGCGCCGCCCAGGCCTGTGGCCGCCTCCTGCCTGCCTGCGCTCCCCTCCGCCGCTGAAATGATGCCGCAGCCTTGAAAAGGGCCGCAGGCCCGACGGTCAGGAAGGCTCTCCTTCAGCGTGGGCTGGCCAGGCGCCCACCGGCGCGGGTGCCGCCACCGACGCCCTCCCGCAGCCAGGCCGCGAGGGCGAGTGGGACCCCGTCTGCGCAGGGAGCCTCAGGCCTGCACCCACTTCCCGCCCCACACCCGTCCCTGGCCTGGGTTTCCTCTGACGGGGTAGCGATGGGGGCACCTGGCCTCAACGAGCCATGAGAAGAATCAGAACCAGGTGTCGGGTCTGGGTGGTTTTCTCTACTCATTTCCTCAGCCCCTTGGGGGAGGCCTGGGCTGGCCCCGGTGTGGCAGGGAGCAGGATCGTATCCCCTCTTCCTCTGTCGGGGCCCCCTCTCCGGTTTTCAGGTGCCCAGGGAGCCGGCCCAGGCGCCGGGGAGCCGTGCTGGGGCGGGGGCCGGCTGTGGGAGTCCACCCTCCAGCCCCAAAGCAGCTGCTCCCAGAACACGGGCTGTTGGTGACTCCTGGTGGCTCGGATTTGGGAGGAGAACTGGGGCCGGGCTCCCGGGTTAGGAGGGCCCGTTGTGGGCGCCCGGGGTGGAGGGTCTTGGCACGTGTCATCTGCCTCCAGAGACCTCTGGCTGGAGCGGGGGCGGCCACGAGGCCCTCCGCCGGGAAAACCGCAGCCCGGCCATCGGTCCCACAGCATCCCCCACCCACGTCCCAAGTCCCTGCTTCCTGGCCGTCTTGCCCACTCAACAGTGAGCTCTGTGACATTTGCTGAGGAAGGAATGGGACTTGGGCCCCTAGGACAGAGGCACCCCAGCCCCGGGCCACTCACTGCGGAGGAGCAAACCTCTGGTGTTTCCCAGCAGCTCTCCCTGGCGGTTGCCCTCCCCACTTCACAGGGGGGAAACTGAGGCTCAGAGAGCCAAAGCAGCTTGGCCAAGACCACGTAACTCCTAAGCGGACGCAGAGCGTTGTGACTCTAAAGCCCCGCCTCACACAGCCACCCGCCTCTGTCCCCTGAGCCGAGCAGAGGCGGCAGCGACTTCCCGCTGACAGTGAGGTCCCGCACGATGCCTGGGGGCCTGGCCCCTGGAGACAGTTCAGGCCACTCTCGGAGAAGGAGGACACAACGAACATCGCAACACCACGCGGGG